AGAAAGAACGAATGGATGAACATGGTGTGACACTTTCTGGACAATTTGTCGCTGTGGGATTGTTGGCTCATTCCGTACACGATGGCCAAAATGTTTGTAATCAGTGGGATATTGATAATGAAGTATCGTTTGCGTTGATCAGGCAAGCGGATGTGGATGAATCACAAGAAGTATGGCTCTACAATAGGTATGGTTTGGCTTTATAAAATCTGACAAAATTGGAGACTCATTTAGTCTCGAGAAGTAAAGAGGAAATTCGAGAACTGATTTAAAATCATTGCTTAGATCACGTGATCGTACGTATGATATTTTGTAATACCGCGTGGTAGTTTAACTGAAAGAAGGGATGAAAAATTAGTATGAAGAAAATAAGAAGTGGAATGTCGTCGCAATTCCTTTGAAGTATGATATGATTAATCATTTGTGGAAGTAATGTGAGAAAGGCGAATGAATTAAGAGAATAAGCCACAGGGAATTAGCAAATCAACTGATATGATAACTGTTGCAGTGGTGATAAGCCGTTGTTCATTTCCATCGCATCGTCATTTAGTTTGCACAAATCGGAAACAATCAGAAGGGTGAGTAGCGGGTATTGTTACCGGGTTCATCGTGGATGTAATCCGTCACTAAAAACAAGAACCGAAAGCCATGTCGCAAAACATGATCCGGCTAACACACTCAGTTTCTTGAATATCAGTGTTGGCAAAGGTTGGGGTGACAAATATCACAGAATAAATCATACAGACACTCCGTGTCGTTATGAGATCGTTTTTATGCCGGATAATTTATGAGGGAATCCACTACTGGAATGGAATTGTCGACGAATTTGATGAATTTGTCTTATAAATTATGCAATTTTTTTTTTCTTTCTTTTTTTATATGACTGAAAAGAAATTCTGATTTCCGAATTTTAAGAGGAAAAGAAGTCTTAACTGTATGGCTGTGATTATTTTAGGTGGTAACTAATTATAGTCAAATAGTTTGAAATAAATTCATTCAATTAAAATAAAATAAATTGAATTAAAATGTGGAAGATTTGAGGTAAATGATCTCGAGACTGTGCTTATTTGTATCTGTTGATAATTTGTTTCCTTTCTTAGAAATCCTTTGCACTCGTTTTCTTCATTATCAGTTTGTTCATGTCTAGTCAACCGCCTTCACTTTTCGTTTTTGTCACACCAAATAAAAGAGGGGAAGGATCATTTTCTACATATCGATCGATCTATATTTTTGAAATTGCTTTGTTTTCCGTTTTTCAAAATTGTTCGCATGCATAACGAAATACTTTGGGGACAGTGCTAGCATTTGTCTCAATACTTTACATCGATTATTTTATGGATAAGTTGAAAAATATTGCAATCAGTATCCTGAAATTTTTTTATATCATTCAGGTGGCGTTTTATTGGGACTGGATGCGGAATGTTCTTGTAATAACTTTGTTTTTAACTTTGATAATTGTAAAATGCTTAAATTTACAGTTAGTTCTTTAACGTTTCAATACTTCACTATCTTTTAGCAATTTCTTTTTCTTCAAAATTTTGTTCAGATTTTCAATTTTTTCTTCTTTTATTTTTGAACTAACCATGATTGCAAATAATTGTTTTGATTTGTTGAATATGCAACATTCCCACTGTGATTCACGTACTTCATCCTTTAATGAATTTGTTTATTTGCATTAATAATGTTTTGATAAAGTTTTAAGATTTAGTTTGATTTTCTTTCTCCACTCTATTCACTTCCTGTAATTTAATTGAAAATCAAACGAAACAGTTGATAAATCGTTTGAAAATTCCTTCATATATTCATGTTGATTTATAAATTTCTAAATTTTATTGAATGTTTAAAATGATAGAATCTTTATCACATGCCAATTTGACAATTTGACTTTCTCATTGATGGTTCTTAATTTCTTCTTGCTTTTAGTGCTATTTTTTTTTTTTTTTTTTGAAGTGTTTGTATTGATGAAAAGCATCTACCTGCCATATTTATTATTTAGTCGTTTAAAGAAGAAAACAATAAACCGTTCAAATTATTAACCAACCAAATTGTTGTTTACATTTTCTATTCCTTTACATTTGCCACATTAATTACTTATTAATATTGTTTGAAAAATGATTTATTCATCAGCTTTCCTCTACCAAATTTCAAATATTTTTTTTTTTCTTAAGAAGATAGCAATTTTGAATTTTCATTTCTAGTCATTCTCTATCTTAATTTGAACTTCATTTTGTCAACAAGCATGCAAATTTTAAATTTCTTTTGGTAATATTTTATTGGAAAAGTCAACAAAGTTTCTCCTATTTCATTTCATTACATTGCCACTTTTCCTTACTTACTTACTTACTTACTTAGGTACTAATCAATATCGATATTTGCATTTCCGCTGATACTATTGCCACTACTACCACTACTACTACTAGTAATACTACTGCCACTACTACTACTACCAGTCATTTTCTGTTTCTCTTATATGCTGCGAAGGTAGAATAATCTAATCAGGGAAGCATTTGATGATAAACGAGAAATGATATGACATTTTAGAAAACAATATTTTGTGGTAAATAGGCTGTCATTCGGAATTGAAATTTAACTTTTAGGGGAAGAATGAAAGAATTTTGTCGTTTTTAAATTCAATTGAGTGAAAAGATCACTCTTAACCCATACTCACAAACTGAACTGAAATTGAACTGAAACTGAACTGAATTGAACTGATCTTTTGATGTATGCTAGTTTGTCATATTTATTTATAACTTTGTTGTATTTTATTTTTTAATTTGCTTCCATTTCTTCCGTCAAACTTCATCGTTGAATCGTATTTTCATGTGAAAGTACATGAATATAACATATAAACAAACAGTGAAACTATATCTTTTTACTTTTCGTTTTCAAAATATTTTAATTTTCTATTAAATTTCTTCAAATTATTTTTTTTCTTTTCCAAATTTATAATTTGATATTTAATTTTTGTTGTGTCATACATTTCTCAAATTTTATGATAGCATTATAAGCTAGCCTAATCAAGCTAGGCTAACTTATGTCTCAATGAAAGGGAAAAATCCTTCTTTAAATAATCGATGGGATTAATTTCGAAAAAATGTTTAGTGAACCTAACATAGCTGAAATAAATCAATTTATTCAACTTCAAATGTAACTAAAAATTATGAAAAGGATAAGAAATCTCCTTCGTTATGTTGTTATATCAATGTGTCATAAATTTTGATCGCCGTGTTGATTGACGCGTTTCATTTCATTTAAGTGAAAATCTAAGTCAACAACGGCAAACAAAGTTACGTGAAATACGTTGATATAGTCACTGTGAGAGTTATACGCTGTGCCAGGTAAACATGAAAATGTATTATAGCAAAGAAGAAAAAGGTAGGATGAGGAATCGAAGATTTCAGGAATGTTCCGATACTGTCTGACTGTTAAGAGAAAACGTAAAATTTTGATACTTCTATCACTACTATTACTATTTTCCAGCAAATCCGGAATTGTCCTCGAAGAGGACAGCTTATCTGATGACTTGAATGACGTCTTTTCTATTGTTGATCATTCCTGTATTGAAATAAGGATGAAATTGTCTTGAATCTACGTAAACGAGTCACGTGTTAATATTTAGGTGACATCTATTTTATTTCGACGTGTACTAACAATACAACCTATTTAATTTGCATAAACTTTTATGGATAAACATTTGATAAAATGATTTAAGGCAGTAAGTAATTTATAAAACTGATAGAACGATTTAAGGCAGTGAAATATATATCTATATATATTTCTGAACGATCAGACTTTTATGTAAACAATTCATAGTAATATAGTGATGCTTCTTCGATGGAACTGAAGGTGTGACTTATTTGAATTCAAAAAATATAAATTCAGAATATTTAAAATAAAAATAGAAATGAATATTGCTGAAGTGGAATTGAATGACCAACATGAAAGCATCACTACTTCTAATATTATCTACAATTAATGGCAGTTATAATACGATGATCACAGTGAAGTATTTTTTCCTTTTTTTGAAGAAGAAGAAGAAGAAAGGAGACAATAAAAGTGATAAAAACAATTGATGGAAATAATTAAGATTATTAATGAGTTAATGAAAATGAAAAGTTTCTGCTAATAATTTTGTACAGTGATACAAAATTTAGAATGCAAATAGAATTCAATTATTATAATTCAAAAAGAAAACGAAAGTGAAAAATTTAGCGAATAATAATTATTTCAAACATTTAATCTCTGATTAAAATATTACATTCTAGTTAAGCATTTTATAAAAAAAAAAAATCAGCAAAATTAAATTATAGAAAATAAAATTATCTTTCAGTGAGTTATTTCATGGCTTTATAAATGACTTGCTTATTCATTTGAAAACACCGATAGCATAATATATTGATTGTCACAAAATATGTCATATAATATACTCTCGAATTGTCTCGAAAGTTAATATATAAGAGAAGATCATATCAATATGTTAGTACTTCTTCATTTGATTGATAGCATAACAAATGAGATTTTAACATAAATAAGAGAAATTAAGGTAATTGCAATTTGTAATGGAATGAAGTAAAATGGCAGAGTTAATTAGTATTAGGCAGTATTTGAAAGAAAATTGGATGATTCACATAATAAAGATGAATTTAAGTTCGTTAACCTTTGTTCAACTTACAATTAAAATGCATGCACATGCATTGTGCAAGTTGTGAGAAGAAGAAGCTCGCTTAGAAGGTTGATTTTTTGTGATAATCACACTGTTAGCTAACTGTTATCATACTGTTAATTAACTGATAGCTAACATAAAAAAAAAGATATTTGGAATAAAATACAAGTCAAATGAGAAATTCATATCACATCTGTTATCTAAATTCTCTCGAAATTTCAATACGGCATAAATCTCAAAATGACTAAACGTACGTGAACAGAAGAGATGCTTATATCAAAGTATGTATAATTTTCTTCAGCATGAAATATTCAAAAAGAAAAAATAAGGCAGAAAATTAGAGTCGTCGTGAATATCGATAAAATTTCCACTTTTCATCGGGTTCATCATCCATCGAAAATTGATGTTGTTCGTGTTGCTGCTCTTCATATCTAAGTTTTTCTTCACTTTTACGATTCTGCAGTTCACGTTTAATTTGTTGTTCATGTAACTGTTGTTTATGACGTAATATTCGCTGACGTTGTTGTTCAAATCGTAAACGTTGACTGTCACCTATCCTAAAAGTGATCTATCAAATAGTAGATATAATCGTTAATTAAATTAAACTATTAAACCAGTTAAATCAACAATATTTTAATACATTTTCATGAAATGGAAATGAAGAAAAAAAAAAGTAATTTATCATTATAATGTCAATCCTAATATAAACTATGAAAATGCTAGCATTTTAGTTAAATTGATTAAAATCAATAACTGATTCGGATCATCGATAATCAAATTATTAATTGAAAAATGGTTTAACGTTTTTAAATATTTTCACTCAAAAGTTTTGAGACAATAAAAAGCTGAATAAATCGATTTTCTAATGAGATTATTTGTTGCAGATTATAGTATATGCAAAAGAAGAAAGTTAATTGATACACTTCTTTTGGAGTGTGATAATATGTGTAGTGCTGTGACTTTCCGGCTTCCGGATCATCCGGATTACACCTTACGAGAATATACACATTTTGTTGATAAAAAAATGGATCTTCAACATACGATATCTGAAAATTTATGCTACATTAATTATAATGCTAAGAAATCACTGAAATGATTTTTTTTTTCTTTTTTTAAATTGAGGAAGAAAGCGTTGTATTTCAATTTTATCAGAGAGTTATGAAAACAAACTATTTGATAGAAAATGAAATTTAAGAAAGAATTTCAATTGAACTTTTATTCTATTTCTAAACGAGAAGAACAATGTGAAGCGGAAAAGCTCTCTCTTCACCCACCACAACTATGTTCTTCCATTCCTAGAAACTTTCTCAGAAGCATAGATTGACGAACAAAGTGGTTGAAATTTGTGAACTGATCAGTTACTGATCAAAAAGCAATTTAATAGCAAATGCATTTAAATGTCATCGCTTATTCAACAAATTGTCATCTCTTCAAAAGAATGAATTTGCTACTCGTACTCTTCACTTTTGATTAGATTGCCCGCACATTTCAAATATTTTAATGATGATAAATCGATAATCCATTAATAACAGTACTTGTTTACCTTGACATAATCATTTTCATAATCGATACCTTCGGCAAATGCTTCCTGCATGCAAGCACTACCGTACCAAACTTCATTCTTTGTCCAACTTACAATCTTAGCCACTTGTCTACTACGATATTCGATTGCTTCATGAATATTGGCTTGTCCAGCTTGTACAAATTTAAATCTTAAAAGAATTGCACATCGTAAATTAAGATTTCAATCATTGAGTAGGCAATCACTTCTCCAATTGATTTTTTTATTTAAGCTATATTTCAGTCAATTTCATCTCACCTCTATTTCTCATCTTCTTTCCTGTCCCCAATTTAAAATCATATAGAAATGAGAAAATTATTGTATTTTTGATCATAAATTTCTGTTAAAAAAAGTCAAAAAAAAAAAAAAAAATCAACCAAAAGTTTTGTTAAAATTGTAAAAAAAGAATTTTCAAAAAATTACGCTAAATTTCCATTGTTATTACTTCTAGAAAGTACGCGAAAACCGCCACATATCGCTTTGGTCTTATGATAACGATCCACAAAACGAGCGCAAACTCCGTTCTGAACCAAATAGGCATGTCCAAATGTTTCGTAGTGGCCAAGTTCATCATACATTACCCTAAATGTGACATATTTTCTGCAGTTCAGCAATTGGTTAAGCATTTCTGATGTCATTTGCTAAACTAGATTCAAAAATTTCTTTACTTTATACCAGAGATATATAACTAATTACTCATTAACTGATTACTCATTAACTTAATTTATATTTTTATTTCTCATATTTCTGTAATCATTTCACTGTTGCAATTAAACGTTACCCAAAATATGCCATCTAAATTGAACAAATAAATATTGCTCATATATTTCTTTTCAACAATAAAAGAAGTGAATGTGTAATTTGAAATTGAATTAAATAATCTACCAAAAAGCGATGTATGACTTTCTCGTAGGAATTTTCACATGAGCAGTGTGAAATGTTAGAAAATCTTTGACAGTTCGGTCACCAAGTAAGGAACCATCATTGTTGACCGTTGTCCAGTACTCTTCACCGATCTCGAATTATTTGTGTGAAAATGAGATGAACAGTGATAGATAAAGTTTCAATTAATTAATAAATGATTATTTAACTTTATGAACAGAAAAAAAAGAAATAAATTACCCATACTGCATCGCATATAGCAAATATGAAAAAGATGATAAGCAACATTTGATTTGAATTCTTGCTAAAAAAATTTCTTTGAAAAGTTAAACTCTTTTATAGAAATATCAATAAATATCAAATGCGAAAGATACAAGTAGTAATGGAATAACTAAACAAATTCAAATTTAATGCCATAAGATTGAGAAAAAAAAAAAAAGATAGAAGAGTAAAATGTTATTAATCAAATAACACATACCATAATTGAACTTTCATAGTTTAAGGTCAATTAAAATTCAGGATGACAAGTTAAGTGATGTGACAAAGGTGATAGTTATTGATAATTAAGGAAATATTATTGGAATTACTGAAATGTACATTTCAAAAGATGTCGCTTTCAGCTTACTGCATAAATGTTCAAAATTTTTTGTGATATAAAAGATAATTTAAAAGTTATGAAAATATATCCATTCATAAAGGAAAATTTCTTTTAGTTAGGTGATAGTATATTGGCAAATTTTTAATAGAATATAGCTTTATTTTTTCTTGTATGGCAGAAAAAATTGAAAAAAAAAAAGAAAAGAAATGAAATGGAAGGAAACAATGTTAATAATATAAAATGAAGTATGGTAAATGCTATGGCGGAATTGTCAGAAAAGTGAAAATCCTTAGATTTGAGAAAAAAAAAAAAAAAATTGAGATTGCTTCGAACAAATCAGAAATACAATTCAAAAAATTTCTCTTAGCTTCTTTTTATATATGTATTTTGAGAAGCGGAAATTGTTTTCATGCATACGTCTAGCAGATCTTTTTTTTTTTTTTTTTTTTTTTTTGCTGAATTGAATTTTATTTGAACAAATTAATTGAAATGCTAACATTGTAAAGATGGGAGAGAGAATTTGTGAAACGATAATTATACAAAGCTTAATTTTATAAAATGAATTGTTACTGTGATAACAATAAATAGCTTAAATGTCTTATTAGGAAGGAAAATGGATAAAAGAAGAAGCAATTCGAATAATTATCTCTCTTTGCAATTGCTAGCATATTTTTAAACTATTTTTATGCAATCATTTCATTCATGATGATCAATTCATTTCCGTTAATGAATACGGAAGAAAGAAAAAAAAAAAAAAAAAAACGGAAAAGATTTCTTTTTTTGCTCACTTTTAGCTGTAAGTGCTATTAATTGTTGGTTAATACGAAAAAAAAAAAAAAAAAAAAAACTTAAATTGAAACGTTCTTCGATTCTTTCCTTTTTTTCAATTTTTACATTTGTTCATTCAGAAAATGGAATGTAAAAAAGTATTCTAAATGCTTTTAGCACAATCAAAATAAGCCTTTAAAAGAATAAGCAGAAATTAGCATAAATATTGATTTGAAATTTGTAAATTTCGGATAAAAAAATTACGCCGTTCTTTTCTTTGTTTTGAAATTTTTTTCAGTAGAAACTGTTTGCGTAAGAAACTGAAATATTATTCATTCCTGAAATAACAGCCAACCAAAGGATTGTGTGAAATGTATGAACAAAAAGGAATAACCAAATAATAAAATATAGAAAATTTTCCTTCATCTTTCAATTGTTTTTTTTTTTTTTTTTTTTTTGCTCTTTGCCTTGTTTACATTTAATTGAAAATATGTGAATCATAGACTTACGCATATTTATTATCTGAAAATTTAAAATTATCATATAGTTTAATCTAGCTTAAATGAAAAAAAAAAAGAAACAAGGAGAGAAGGAACGTTTCATTTATCAGAATAAGATAATAATGATTGTGGTATTTATGAAATTAATAATTTTATCAGTTAATTTATCAGTTAAAAAAGCCATATGAATTTGATAAATGCCTGTTTACGCTTATTTTTCGCAAAATTATCTTAAAATGTTGAAAATAAGAAAAACGAAAATTTTTTTAAATGATAAAATATGATCAACAAATAGTGATAAACTGCTGAACAAATATGTCATTCTACATTCGAGACCGAAAATAATTGCCTGTTTAATCAGTAACACAAATATTTTTGGTTTGTAACTCTTCTCAATTCAAAAAAAAAAAATTTACTCAATGAAAAAAAAAAAGAAAAACCTCAATAAAATTTTATAACATAACTATGTAAAATATTTCATTTGAAAATTTCATAAGAAATAAAGTGAAATTTTCAGATTGAAAATTTGTATTTGTTAAAGGAATAGTGAAATAGATTTGAAGACTAACTTTTTGAAAATTTCAAATATTAATTATCGGATTTATGTTTTTAAATATTTCGGTGGCAAAAGTTTATTTAAAATGAGCCGAAAGAATGGTTAGTAATTGCATATTTGGTAAAAAATTTGTTCAATTATTATCTGACATTTGCAAATTCAAAATGATACATCAATGAATAAAAGTTTGACAATAAAATATTGAAGAGAAATTAAATATTCCTACGAACTGCATCTGCACTACACTTCACCAGTATTAGTATTATATATCATTTAATTAATTACTAATTACTCATCTCAAATATCGTCATCTTCCCGATCCCTTCCCTTCCTCATAATCCTACAACCATGATGAAGATAACAAAATCATTGAAAGTAAAATGTTGCTCTACAAAAATGGTATCAGTGATTGATCAATTTATCAGCAATGAGAAGTTTTGAGTGCCAATAATCCATAGTATCTTATCTATTTTTCATTTCATTGTTTACTGAATATTGTAAATATGGCTAATTTCAAAAATAAAAGAGATAAAATGAAATTAAATCGATTATTAGTAAGGAAATGAAATAAACAAAAACCATTTGCATAAGTATAAAAAAAAGAAATATTTCAAATATGTGAGAAAAGGAAGAAGTTTTGTACTTATTAGAAATAATATAAAAATTAAGAATGAAAACTATTTCATTTGAGTGTTGAGTGGATTAATTTTTGACCTTCAAATTTAATCATTTCAATTAAGACAAAATTAAATCTTTTCTGTTCGTAACCCTTGACCCTCTCTCTCTGCTTAAATATACCACATACAATAACTAATCGTTGCTTGAAGTAGCAATTTGCTTCGTCTCATTCATACCGCAAATTGTTGTCGTTAAGAGAGAGAGAGAGAGAGAGAGAGGGAAAGAAAGAGAGAGAGAGAATATCTTTTTGAATATTGTCATGCTAATGATCTCTGCAAATGTGATTTCATTCATTTATGTCAGAAGGAAATCGGATCAATGTTCAAAATTTTTTTCAGCATCCATTTTAGCACAAATAGCAATGGAAGAAAGGAATGAAATTTGTTGTGAAAGTAGTTTTAATAGATGTAAATTTTAAATGAATTGATGAGATTACTGATAAACAGTAATTCTGATATGATAAGAGGAAACCATGAAGAGTAAATATGCAATATTAAATGATCATCATGCACTCATATGTGATATTTGAAATAGTATCAAAATTTTGACATCCTTTGTTTTTTTGCTTTTTATTTTTTTTGCAAATATCTATTTGTTCATAATTTCAGAAGATTATTTCATTCTTTTTCTTTTCTTCAATCAATTTTTACTTCTTCATTCTCATTATCATCCTGTTGCTGAAATGGTGGAATGTAAGAGTTGTTGATGTGCAATGAGAAGGTTTAAATAAAATTTTTAGAATGAAAAATTTTCTCGAGCTTATATGATTGGTTAATTTTTGAGTTGGCAAATTTTAAATCAATTTATATCATCTAAACAAACCATTAGTGTCATATCTGTGAAATAAATCTAAGCAAGCAAATTTCGCCTCATGCACATACCATTGAGCATAAAACTTCAAATATATCTTCTATCAATAATTCCGATCACGCAGAAACGTTATGTGTAATTGACTGTGTAATTATGTAAATGACGTCAGTAAACAACAACAAATAGGATTGAAAAATAATTAATTTAATCGAATTTTTTAGAGTTAAAAAATAAATATATATATACTTATGTATGAAAAACGACTCAAAATTCATGATGAAAAAGTTAAATTATATGTAATTATAACTGAATTATTTGAGTTCATTGTCTTTTCAATTGATTATTTTGCTATTTTGTGAATGTTTAAATATTTTAATTAATATAAATCATGTCAACGTGTCGTCATGTTTATGCTTAAGGATGATATTACAATAAAATTAAGCAAAAGATTTCATTTACTTCACGTATAACTCATGAAGTAATTGACATTTTTGAGTTTGTACGCTCATTTCCATTTTTCTTCAATACTTTTTGTTTGTTTTGTTTCTCTTTCCAATCAATCTATTATCCAAACAATAGCAATCCAATTCCTCATTATTTCTTTCTTGGACAAATTTCGTTTGCGGTTTTCAAAATGATTTAACTGTAATAAAGTAAGACTCAAAAAATTTGGCTGATTGAATTTTTACCATTTGCATTTGCCACTTTAATTAAATAATTTTGATTAATAACTGTAAACAAAGGATACCATTGGGAAGATCTCGAGATTAACAACGCAATAAACTTTACAATGAACTAAAGGCAAATGTCTTTTTAAATTTTTTCAACAATCATTAATTTAGTTCAAAATGATTTTTTTTTTTTGAAACAAAACAAAAGAAAGAAAGAGAGAAATAATTGGCTATGGAAATTTTTGATCTTTGTTAGATGTATAAATGAAATAAATTATAAGAAAAGTACGGTAATCATAAATATTCATCGGTTTTGCGAAAAAAAAAAAAAGCCAATACATTTAGCTCAAATCGTAGAATGGCTATCAGTTTCAAAGTTGTAAAATCGAAAATTGTAATCAAGCAGTGGAAGACTGGCTGATTTTTCTTTTCTTCCTATTCATCGTATTTTCTTCACCACGCCCTATCATCATCTTTATTATTATCATCATCATCATCATTGCCGTTATCATCCTTAACAGTATTACCATAATTATTATCATCATCATTGCTATTATCAATCTTATCACTACTATCATCACCATCATCATCATCATCATTAACGGCTACTGTAGCAAGAAAATTGAAAATCGAAATAGCTACAAATTATTATTTCAATCCTTTTCACTGCCTGAAAAATTTATGCGAAAAAAAGAGAAATAATAATCGAAGGGAAAAAGAAGAAGCAAGCAATAACGAAGAAGAATACTGTTTGCTTGTGCACTTTTTATAATCTGATAACAATCAACCATTACCGCCCACACATATACATACGCCTACACACATACACCACCTACATACACCCACGCACAACCTACACCTACATACACAGACATATATTGGAAGGAAGGGATTTCGTCGTGGAAGGTTTCTTATCCTATACAGTTATTTCAATAGCATGAAACTCTATTGAGTAACGATTTAATTATGAGTGTCCTAATTAATTCCCCTCAAGTACACATACCTGTGTCTGTGTGTGTATGTATGTATGTGTCCGTCTGTCTGCACTTCTGTCTGATAATTTGCATGCAGTCGTAAATTTGTGGCGGTTTTGCAATCTTTGTAATCGCACTGTGTACGACACATGTACAACACATCAAGCATTAGCAGCATAATAAAATTCCATTTTTTTTATGAATTATTTGGTTTACACTGCTTATGTGTGACATGTGACAATTAGTAGAACAAAAAAGTGATCAAGTAATTTGATAACAGTGATCAAGTAATTTGATAACAGCATCACAAGTGATAACAGCAATAGTAAGATATTAGCTTTTAATTTGATATGATTTGTTTGCTTTTTCACCTAAATTTATTAATTATTTCTACTATGACAAATAGTTGATTTTAGAAAATTTTTGAAGCGATAGGATGCATATTTGATAGGGTATCTTTGCCCATATTGTGGGTATTTGTAGTAGTACCATTGTCATATTTTATGTTTAGCAATATAAAGCGGATCCTAGCATTTCCTCTTATTCCGGGTAACCGGTAATCGATAATCGTTGTCACTAAACTTTAAAATATATATAAGGTGAACAAGTTTACTCACTGTTGTAAATACTGAAATTAGTACCAACAATAGACTTAACCCGAAGGAAAGGATGTTTCCCTGCCTTATTTTTAGTGAGAATTTATATTTAGCATCTATCATAGTTTTAATTAGTAAACAGAACTTTAGCAGATGAATAACAATTCCTTCACATTCTCATGTCATTATTCATTTAACCTTTTCTATGTTTACTTTCAAAGGAGCAAAATTAGTATTCCAATGAGTCATTCTTTAATTTTTAAGAAAATTTATTGTTTAAAATTTTCAAAAAGTCATCGCTATTATATTAAAATAGTCACCGATCGTTTATAACATGAAGAAGCATTTAATAAGAGATAAACTTATATTTTACTTCCTGCTTACCTCCCAGCTGCTAAGTATATGACGCTATGCAACTCCTCCTTCCCAAATCTGAATTTAACGCTACATACAGTCGTATGCTGGAAGAGCCAATCCATCGGCCATGTTTGAGGCTACTACTTGGCATCTTTTTTTTCGGAGATGAAATTTCAAGTATGAATTTATTTGCCATCTGTCTCGTGTGTGTTTATTTAAATTCTGATTCAACTATCCATGTTTTCTCTTCCATAAAAGTTGTGTTTGAAATTAAAATTTGAACTGCATTAATAAATTTGAATCTGTTGGAAAATTTATTTAATTCTAAAGTATGAATTTAATTATCGATTTCTCTTCTTTCGAGGGGGAAACACTTTTGGTTTTAAACTTTGAATTAAAATGCCCTTGTAGTTTTTTTCTGGAATAAAAATATTTTAAGTTTTAGTTCAAACCGAAATACAGGATAAGCATGTTTGTATTTAAATTAATGGGTAATATCTTTTATGTGCCATATTTAAAATTGAAATCCATTTTGATTAAAAATTACCTATTACAGAAATGTTGGACATTTATCAACGAATCAGAGAATGGAAACGTTTCTTATTTCCACGGTTAACGACCCGAACAACCTTTTCACATTACATACCAATGGTGGGAGCATTGAGCCATTCGTTATACTCTATGCACATTCTTTCGCCAGACTTACTTTCCAGGTTTCTTTATTTTTCCACATAAGTGGATAAGAAAGCTCGTAATATATCAGTTATTTATTACATATGTATTGTAATGTGTCTTTTTTTTCTCTTTTTTGTATTAATATTTTGTACCACTACAAGAAAATTCGTATTGAAATGAAACCAACCATTCTTGGAAGTTTTTTTTTTTTTATTACTATATGAAAGCTGAACTAATATTTCGGATTTGATGGAATCATAAAAGTATTTATGTAAGACACGTTGAATAGGAGAAACATTCTAGGTTTTAATCTTAATGGGAAATTAATTTGATCATGATTGTCTTTGTTGTAATAGTATAATTTTTAGTACATAACTTATACTGTACTACTATGCATATAATTATTTCTGAACTAAGCTACACTGTGTCAGTATTAAGACTTTCTCCCCTTTAGATGCTTTGGAGTCCATGATTTGGCAGCAGAATTTTCAATACTTTGTACAGCTACACTCGGACCTGGCTTCGCGGTCTATTTTCGACCGCATATGAATCGTTTGGGTCGTTGGAAACGTGTTGAATATAGTGTATTTGCAGCTGTTATATTTACTTATGGATCCTTGTTTGCCGTTATTTTTCTAAAAGATATTTTGCCGAATACGTAAGATATGCTACTTTTTCATAAAACATATATAAGCAGAAATATCTGACTGCTTGTCTGTTTTGTTATTTTAAAATTAATTGTGTGGCAAGTTTCAGTGAAGTACTTGCAAGATTTATCTTTTGCTACAAAATAAAAAGTAGTGTTAGTATGACTTTGAATTTACTGGAGTTAAGGACAGGAAGCTTAGATTCTTCTCACTTCAAGCTGATTTTCAAATTCAAGTCGATTAATGATTATTTTCTCCTGCCACTTAAATTTGTTATTTTATTGTCCCCATCATTTGTACCTTAAATTATTGACGATTATTCAGAATAGTTGCATAGCTAATGGTTTTACCTTATCTGCATACGGTCAGAGATATATTGGAATAAATAGCCATTCAAGCTTGGTAGTGTAATCGTATAATTAACTTATTTTAGGCTAAAAGTATGGATGAAATCATTAATTGGGATAGGGATGAGTTTGGTTCTGCTATCGCGAGGTTACAATTACCTGAGCTTTCATGATTCTCGACGCAGACATCGAAACATGGCAATCCACAGTACACCAGCAAAACCAGTCACAACTCCTCCACAAAATGAATCGTAAGAGAAAAATAAATATGACGAATATCGAACCTTTTTTTCTTTTTTATTTGATCAGTTCGTTCATTCTAATAGGAAGTTGGTTTGTTAGACGGTACACTGGATTATTTTCATTTGTTTGATAGCATCAGTACGTTCATATTTAAGGACAAATTTTAAATTATTTTAGTTACATGGAGTCGTTAATAATCCCTAATAAATAATCTTCCTACATCAGAATGAGCGAATTATTTCCCCCTTTTTTTTATGTTTGTTTAAATTATTTCTTTGCATGAGCAAAGTGCAGCTGTAGTACTTGCATGGAGGCATATTGTGATCAGTTAGTGAACAAGCGATTAATAATGATAAGGATCAAAGTATAAGAATAGGCTGTTCTTACTTTTTAAGTTTATTTCAACAAATCTAGTAGGTTTTTATGATAAATATAAGAACTTCATTTCCCACTTAAATCATTTTAGTTCACTGTTCATTCAGCAAAGCTGTCTTAGTACAATGACAGCTTTGTGTTGACTATCTTTATAACAAATTCTGGAACCATGTTTGTCAATTATCAGCAGCATTATTACTTTTTACTCAGAGTTCTATGCTGTGACATCTGTATAGATGTTTCGGTGACATTCGTTTTTATTTGAAATTTATTCTTCAAATTATATCTTCGTCCTAATTATTTGCCCATATGCACATATTCGAAGTCTCTGTTATTTGTAGGCTTTTAGCACTCCTTGCTTTAAAAGTTCAGTATTTCCATTTCTTATCTTGGATGCTTCAGCTTATGTGATCATCATCCGGTTATAAATGGGTCGTCGATTTCTATTCAAGTTTTATTCTCCTCTAACCAGCAGCTTTTTTTTTTTTGAAATTGCTGCTATTTCGATATTTTGCCTATTTGCACTGCTCTTCATAAGACATTAATTACATTAGGATACTTAGAAGGTTCTATCGACTTTTTCATTTCAGTTATTTCTCCATCACTATGAATTAGTTCGATTTCGAGACTCCTCAGTGCTTAAGGTGTCGCTCATTCTTCTCTTCATTTTATAAATTTCGCCAAGAAATAGAAACATTGACAAATTTCCACCAATATTTCTATTTTTTGGCAACTAAGTTGCCTTCTTGAATAATATTGTGCCTGAATTCTATGTTGGAAAATATTGTCAGTTTCATCTACTTTAGAGTGTTTTTATTTGTTTTGGAAAGTGCTTCTGTATTTTGACTAGTATTATGTTGTTTATAGTGATAAAAATTTTCACCCTTCATTTATCAAGAAGTTTTGCAGGCGGTTTAGGAATGACTTACAGAAAATGATATTTCTTAGTGAAAGATTTATTCATGTTTTTACATTTTGTTACATTCAGTTCGTTAACCTTTTTTTACAATAATAATGACAGAAAATTGGGCTGGAAGTAGTAGATATATAGAACTTTAGCTAAGGAAAAAACCCTTCAAGCTAGTCCGGCCGAAGTTGAATTTACTTGTGTTATTTAAAAGCTAGCATATTCCTTAAGTTTTCCAGTTCAAGATAAGCGAGAATGAAAAAAAAAACCATAGCAAGATAGCAGGAAAAATGAAGATACAAATGAGTACATGAATTGACATAGAACGAAGAACTGGTGCAAGATTTGATAGACCAGGAAGTCCGATAGACTTCAGATTTAATTTCAATATCAAAGGAAACGACAAACGTTCTACAGGTATCCTGGAAGGCTCTTCTATATATTTGTTTTTATTCTTTCTTAAATTTAAAAAAAAAAAAAAAAAAACCAAAACCACCTCAATTTTTGAAAATTAAGAAAAAGTGGCTTAGCCATAAATAAAATGTAATAAGGAGAGGAATTGTTCTTTTTGAGAGAAATTAGAAAAAGCACATCATTAAATCATCCCGTCCAATTCTCCACATGAAAAAAGAAAATGAAGCTGCATATAATCTCGTTATAAAATTCTTGAATTACGGGAGAATTAATCGAAGTAAATAGCTAACTGTTGCACTTAGCTACTTACTCCAGAACTAAAAATTACAGTCCGTAACTGGTCACTGGTCAATTATCATCCCCACAATTCTTCTGTTCGACCAAATTTATAGACAAGTGAAGAGATGAAAATCAAAAAATTATGCAGAAAGAGTGCAACTCCGGGCCATATCGGATGATCACCCGTTACCAATACATAATCCGCGAACATAATCCATAAAGCAGCAACTAGCGATGCAAATGAAAGTACAAAACCGAGCATTAGCCACAAACGAGATCCTAAAACTGATTTATCGTTATTTTCAAAACTGCATGTAAATATAAAATTCAATATGCATATATAACACGGCTATCATTTAGAAAATTATGTTTTCATCACAATTGAGTTGAAACATAACCGTAATGAATATAATATAAAAATAAGTTGGATAGAATATAAGTAGATGTGGAACCATGCAACAAGGAAGCATTTTACATAATCCAAGATTACAACAACTACGAATAAATGTGGTGACAGTTGCTGTCAAAATTTATATTCTATGAAAAGATTAAAGTTAGCTTCCAAAATACATTAGGATGCATCATTTTGACATCTCATTCATGATTGTGCAATAAACTAATATTAAGTAACGATTGCAAAAACAGAAAATATGCTCGATTTATGTGGCCAAGATTAACAGATCTCGCAACCATATGTTATTTTTCATAAAATCTTTATTTGGAGAACAACTAAAATTGATGAATAACATAATTACATTCGAAAATCTAACCTTTGGTACCTAAAATATTTTCATTCATTGATTCGCCACGAACTTGGCTGTTTGAAACAGCATTCACCCTAAAAGGCGATCATAGTCAAATTATTTCTCGAAATAAACGAATTATGATATTATATTGAAAACGATTATCATATATTATGAGTATCAAATACAGATTTTCAGAAGTAGACTTGGAAAAAAGAAAAATATTTCTGGACGATCTTTTTTATGCAAACTTTATAAGAATCCAAACTTACATGAACATCGCAATAGTTCCACAAACAGTAACGATGATATAAACATTGTTCCATTGACCGACCGGAGTGTAAATTGCTGCCGTGTCAATCAATAGCCACCATCCAATGAAGAACTAAAAAATTGACATTGTGGAGGAATCCGAATCAGAGTAATATTCAAGAAGGAATCAAGTGATTGATTATTAAATAACTCAATGTATGATTTAATTGAGCTTTCGAACATTAACAAATCCAAACATTTATTTATACAAATTATCAGTCAAAAAGCACTACCTACCAAACAACTATATTATTGGGATAATTCCAAACAATCTTTAACATCTTCCAATCATATACTACAACGGGAAAGTAAGCGATTCCTTACCATAGCTGATGAAATACACGATGCGACAGCATTTCGCTTTGAGTCCCAATCGATATCACAATTATAGTTGAACTGATCCAAGCATCCGGACATTTTCACGGATGCTAACCAAAATAAATCCTATACACCCAGATAAAACCTTAAATCACACTAAGTGTTGTAAACAACCTCTACTACACAAGAGGAATTATAGTAAAGCATGGTCTTATCAAAATTATTGCTTAATGCTGCCGCATTACTGTTTGTTATTGCTGTGACCAGTTTCATGATTCACAAGCTTATTAAAGTTCAATTCACAAAACATTTAATGTTTCTGACATCAATCTCGCACATTAAAGTAGGAATACAAACGTTCCAGAGAATCTGACGATATTATCTTCCCTCGGGACAGAATATCGCCCGCAACAATATGTCTTAGTTAAATAAAAAGGCTGCAGAATTTCCACTTGAACGACTCGTAGTGAAAAACAAATGCCGCTGCAAATCCGTTTATAATATTCGATAATTTTCAATAAAAACAGATGTAAACTCATTAGAATCATATTAAAGAGACATGTAACTTAAATGACTCAATACCATAGATTTGAAAAGAAGAAAATTCATAAAAGTATTCCAAACAATACATTCTAGAGATAGAAAATTTCTAGAAAAAAGGGAATACCACTACAAAGTTTGGACAATATACACTACGAAAAGTATGCAAATTTTTTACATCAAATACTGCAAAATTTTAAGGAAGAAAACAACAGATGATATCAGTGCAATAAAAATGTAGCATGTTAAAAACTGCATAAGATGTACTTCGTAATTAATCAGAAATTATAACTCTACACCCAAAAAACAAAATTTATAAAGAATCACTCCTGAAGTCTCCAACAAATAATTTACATCGTAAACTATTTGTTGTTTCAGGATTCCTAATATGAAGTGAAATTTCGAGATTTACTTTCATCTGACAACAGCCAGAATACCAAAAACTGCTTCTCGAATTTCACGGACCTTCCGGTAACTCTTTGGTTTTCTTAGTTCAAATCAAAGTTACTTTACTAATAAGTGGTTCCTTTTTCGTAATTTTTCTGATCTTCTGATTGGTGCAAAAAAATTCTAGAAGTTCCGGAAATTCCTAATTTAATGAGTTTTCCCATGTGAGAAAAGCTATCATACAAATACAAACATACATTAGTTAATATTATTTAAAAAAAAAAACAAAAACGACAGACAAAAGTGAAGTGGTAAGTGATCACTGTTTGTGTACCAATCGGAACACATGATGATTGCTTATACATCACTTCCCTTCCATTCGTGGCAAACCCTGAGAAAAATGAATAAAACTAGTAAAAAAGAAAGCGGATGACGATAGATGTTAAAATTCAGTGTTTCGATTTCGATTTTTTTTTTTTTTGAATGTTCCATTCCTCCTCTAAATTTTGCTTTTCAACCATGTTTCTCCCTGCATTTCTTAGCAACTCTTTTAATGGCTTGCTTTTTTTTTAAAAAATGATTTCAAAAATTCAACTCCGATCTTTCGAGTTTCGAAATACTAGAATCGTTTACAAATTCTGCAATGACTACTATAAAATATTATGAAAATAAAGCAAATTACAATAAATTCAACTACTAGCATTTCAAATCATTTTTAGCATTGAAGGGCATAAAACCTACCAGAGTTGTCTTACTGTTTTAATAAAAAGCAACAAACAAAGTAAAAAACATACTAGAAATGAGCAAGTTAGAAGTCTAATCATTTTTCTAAAAAATTAGACAACGATTGAAGAGCAGACAAAAAAGGACAAAGATGTCCGGAAAAAGTTAATATGCTTTGCAAAGCGCTAGAGTTTTATCTAGAAACAACAAAAAGTAGGAAATAAAATTAAAATTCAACTGCGAAAACTTATGCAAACTTGAATGTTGTAGCAAAATGAACGAAAATTTAAGCTAAAGAAAAAACTTTTTTCCAATCTTAATATAATCATTTCTGCTGATCTTATCTGTTAGTCTCTCCATCTAGAGTCTGCAAACGAGTCACTTTTTCCGACAAACACATCTTTCTTTCCTTCTGATATTGTCAAATGATAATACGCAGCATCTATCTTTTGCCAGAATGATAAAATCATTTTTTCTCACGTTTTCAATAACTTAATACGGTATATGTGATCACAAACCAGAAATCAAACCGGAACAGTCATGGAAAACAAAAGTCAAGTCAAAAACTATGGAAATTTTAGTTGAAGTTCCTCAACAGCTCCTAAAATTTCTCAAAAAATGCTTCAAAAAAAATGGAAGAATAATTGCATACAAGCGACTGCGTATAAGTCGAAGAAAAATCAACTAGCCACTAGCTCTTTCTAAATATCTCAACGTTTACAACCGCCACCCGATCTACAGCAGCCATCGTCACGATGATTATCGAAAGATCCTAGATGCAAATGTTCTGGTCCCTGATTATGAGAGGTTAGTTGTTTTGAATATTTGTGTTGTGATTTCCAGAGCTCAGAATAACGGCTAGCAGGTTTTGCAAGTAGTTCGAAGTGAGATCCACTTTCAGCAACCTAAAATAAATTCCTGTTTCTGTCCAGGAATACTCGAATAATTTTTGCATTGATTTAAAATTAAAATACTTAAAAATTCTTTTACCACATCTCGACGCTTAATAACAAAACTATTTAGTTGATATAATTTTGAGAAAAATCATACATTGGTTTGGTTTAATGAGTACATGGAAAATCACTACTGTGGTCTTCCAAATTAAACTCTGGAAAACCAGTTTGTAATTAAATTCCATAAAATAAAGATTACTTTTCCATTTTCCAGCACATAGATGATATCAGCGTCGATAATCGTAGCTAAACGATGTGCAATGAACAATGATGTGCGCTGCTGCACGGCATTTCGCATAGAACTCATAATATTTTCTTCCGTTAAAGCATCCAACGATGAAGTTGCTTCATCATACACTGCAATTCCCGTCATGTGATCATACAAAAACCGATAAGGATTGGACTTGTGAGTAGATCAAAGTTATATATTCAAAATATGATAATCGATAAAATACTCAAATCAACTAATCTGCTCCTCAAAAAACAAGCCCCAAAAAATGGTCTACGAAACTGAAGTTGCGCTAAAGAATTGAGAAAATTATACTTTTATGTATTAAATTATACTTTTTATGTATTATGTATTAAAATTCTACACTAAATTGGTTACAATGTGAGTTTTATAAAAAAAAAACTAAGACTAATAAAAATCAAACCTAATGCTTCATTTAAAGTCTAATTTTGCATTATAAAATTTTAATTTGATCTTTAAAGGCTCTACCATCATCTTTATACTTAATAAAGTTGAACTTAACAGACCTGTATTGGAAGATGGCAAATGTGAGTTTATATATTAATTTTTTTAACTTGAATTATCACCTATAATAGGAGCATTTTTTAACAATGCCCGAGCAATTGCAACTCGCTGTTTTTCACCTCCACTTAATTTTAAACCTCTTTCGCCAACAACTGTATCGTAGCCATTTTTGAATCGAATCACCGAATCATGCAAATTTGCCAGTCTCGAAACAGAGAGAACCTGAAAATAGTAGGAGATAAACCACCACCGAATTTCGGTTGCTGAAGCCAGAGAAAAAAAGTAATCTACCTCTTCTTTAGACGCAGTTGGATTTCCGTAATGTATGTTGTAATATACAGTATCATGGAAAAGAACTGAATCCTGAAATTTTCAAAATTCTTCAATCATCAGAAAAACATCAGGAAAATTTGATAAAAACTGTAAGCACATCGTTTTTCAATGTTCTTTCTTTGTTATTATAAAAAAAGAACAAAGTTTGACCTGAGGTACAACAGAAATCATTTTTCGCAGACTTTCAAGTTTGACGTCACAAATTTTTTGACCGTTGATACAAATTTCGCCATCTTGCGGATCAAATAAACGGTATAAAAGTCGAACAATTGTCGATTTACCGCTTCCGCTGCTGCCTACTATAGCTACCTGTAAAAAAAATTGGTAGGCAAATAAATAACTTGATATGGATATGGCAAGTCTTTATTATGTAATCATATTTATTTCGTTCGCTTATCTCTTCTTAAGCAAATAATAACATTCCGGTCGTCAGTCATCTATGTATGTGATGTTTATGCTTAAAAAAATCGAATCCTGCTCAGATGATACCTTTTTACCAGAAGGAATATCCAAATTTAAGCCTTTTAATATGTACTGCCCCGGTAGATAGCCAAATGTAACATTTTTAAACGATATAGACGAATTTCGCATATGAACATTCAAAGTTGGAGCATTTGGTTTCTCCTAAAATGCAGTATTCCATCAATTCGAAATTCAAACGATTGTTGTAATTCTAAGATTTGTATCATCACCAAACTTAAGATTTAAGGAAGGATCGCAAACGAAACAAAAAATCCGTGTTTCCTTTAATCTGGTAAGACAAATCAATAACATACATTTTAAAGAAATAACAACATGTGCTTTCACACAAACTTACAGTTATATTGCTTTTTAAGCATAGTAATGAAAACATTAACTGCATATCCACCAATCCTTGTTTTATTTCCCGATACACTGAACCAAGGAAATTTAATGGTACTGACAATTGAAATAACAATGTATTTGCAAGGACAAGATCGCCAACATTCATTTTGCCTGGAATTTCTTCACTAATTCGAAAGTTTTAAAAGTAAGGAAAAACAATGAAATCATTCAGCTCCCATCATATTTCTAGTTCACTTCCTAACACGTTTGTTTAAATATGTGAAGTCATTATTAAAAAAAAGACACTATTCACTGCTGCTGCACGGTTGGCTTTTGATTTTGATACATAAAAATATATTTTCTATATGACGTATTATCAGTCTAGTATAATACTCGATCGCGATAAATATTACAAATAGCATTATAATAAAGTTATCATAAAAACAATCAAATTTGATTTACCTTAAATCATGAAAATTTTTTGAAACAGTAGTACCTTTCTGAATTTCTGCTGCTGCTAAACACATGACAACTACAAGACCACCGCTAAATATTGCATTTTGTGCAAAATTCAGAAGTGCTAACGATGTACTCGTCTTCAGTGCTGCTACTTCATACTTCTTCAGGAAAAAATCATACCGATCCGCTTCAAAACTTTCATTGTTGAAATACTAAAATAATTGAAGTATTTTATTCTACTAATCCTTAGATGAAAATTCGCTTGCTGCTTCTCATAAAATTTAGCACAAACTTGTAATTACCTTCACAGTTTCATAATTAATTAATGAGTCAATAGCACGATTGTTCGCATCGTTATCAGCCTGGTTCATCTGATGCCGAAATTTAGTCCTCCATTTGGTGATTCCTAGCGTCGCAATAGTATAAATTGAAAGACAGCCTAATGTTGCAAATGTAAACGATGGACCGCAACTGACGTACTGGAACAAGGGTTGCAGATGTTAAGAAAGTAATGACAACACGAAAATGTTAACGAATTTTGAAATTTTCAATAGATCTCACCAGCAATCCTGAAACCATGCCTACTTCAATTGCTGTAGGCACCACATTAAAGACCAGTGCACTTTGTACGAATGCCATACCCCTAGTACCACGGTCTATCGCTTTTGATATACCACCTGTTTGTCGACTTAGATGAAAGGACAAATCTAACGAATGCAAGTGAAGAAAAATTTGCCGTGCAATGTTACGAATACTGTACTGTGCAACACGTGCAAATACTGCGTTCCGAAGTTCATTAAATAAAGCTGAACCACTACGTGCTGCACCATCTGCAACAAGTATTGATGATAGTATTAATAGATGATTACATTAACAATATGTGTAAAAAAATTCATTTGAATATATCTCCAACCTGATCATCCAAAAACTCAAAAAATCCTGCACTTTATCAAATGGTCTAAATAATCTCATAATTTTTACAATTAGAAAAAAATCCCTGAATAATTACAAGAATATTGCACAAAAGACATACAAGTTATAATAACTGAGAATGCCGCAATTCCAAACATGCTACTATAACTATCAGCTGACAGCTGAAGACTAATCGGTACTTGTTCGTTGTAATAATTAATTATATTCTTCAGTAGAAATGGTACATAAACGTTCAGCACCTGCAGAAATGGATGAATAAAAATTGCTGGTTAATCATGAATTAAAAATGCAAATTTTTAAATCCAAACTAATCGGTTTCGTAAGAGGGAAAATAAAAAGACCAGTTAGGATGTTTCAACTTACCTTCGCCACAACAAGGAGAGCCATGGAATACATATAGAGTCGTCGGATTTTCCAATTCCCTTTTGGCCAAACAGAGCGCAACATTGTCCTCACCAATTCTGCTGTCGATATTTGTTTGCCAAGGGGAAACTGCACAAATTGGTAAGTACTTTCGGTAAATCGACAAATAATTTCGGTAAATCGGTAATGTATTCCGACCCTAACATCACAGCAGACTTTTACATGTCTAGCATATAAAAATCAAGTACAGTATGTCTATAGGTTTTCAACATTGTAAATTACAGAAATGAAGTTTCAACTTCTATAAAGAACTGAGTTAGGATTTTTCGACTCAAATTTCTCTCATTAATCAGAAGCAGTTTTCCCACCCCAGTTACTTACTTTTAGATCATTTAAGATGGCAACCATAAGACTCACCGCCATCGGTACTAGACTGCTTGCACCGGGATGGAAGCAGTTCCGAATCTGTCCAGTTATGCGTTTCCATAATGTAGTTCTTGATGTCTTCGGATTCTTTTTTGATGCGGATAAAAAATTGCGCTGTAAAAATATTTAATGACTAGCAGTAACCAAATATGTGAATAAAAACATAGCTTGGCATTTCATGGGACTAATCATTTGTCTAAACGAAATGTTTTAAAAACTAACATAAACAAGCTTCGTTTGCCGATTCGACAATTGAAATTGCTTTTGAAGCATTGTACGGAGAAAGTAATTCATAATGTTGTAAGATATTTCGCATTACCAAAACCCGTGGAAAAGCTTACCTACCTGAAAGAAAACTTTAACTCACCAATCTTTAAATGTTCATAGACAAACGTACTGGAAAATTCATGCGCATCAAGCGCAAAAACATCCATATTCAAAACATATGATGCGATGGCAAGTAGTAAACAAATCACAAAATTAAATGCTTGAATTTCATGAGTTAAGAAACTCAGTGAAACTCAGTGGAAAAAATCATATATTCATACACGGATTGATTTAAAAGTTAAAAGGATGTATTGAAACATGGAAGAAGAAGTACTTTACAAATAAGAGATTCATTTTTTAATAAAAAATTGGCAAGTAAAGTGTCTGTGAGGTACATTCTGGATAAATGAACCATTACCGATTACAAATTAATTGATCAAGTTGATACAATTCCGTGAAATGCCCTACATTTTAGAAAGTGGCCAGAGCTGCAAGTCCATGAAATTATGTGTTAGGGCAAGATAAGGGAAGGAAGAGCTGTAGTAGATTGTAACTGGAAGGAAAAGAGTGCCATATGTGCAGTTAATTTGCATCTAATATCTGCATCGCATCACGAGAATCTCTTTACAACGTTATCTGAGCGTACGTGGATGCTGGGCACGTGTCATACAAACATACCTAAGAGACACTCACACGCTATGAGATATACGTTTGCACGTTGACGTGAATAACAACGAGAGCAGAGAAGTGAAGTAAGACCCCGCCCCTATTAGGCACCACCCATTTGTAGCGAAATGCTGCAGATGGGCATTGTAGCGATAGTGGCCAAAGCTACAATTGATTCCTCACTTCTCTCGGTGTCTGACTTCCCGTAGTTATTCCTGTTATCGATTTTCTTTTGATCTTTTCTCTTCATTCTCTTCTAGTTCGTTCGTTTTTCTTACACTTGTTTTCTTTCATTCTCCCCTCTCTCCCTGTTCTCTCTCTGCTCACTTCTCTCATCCTTCCTCTACTTCACAGTCATCCGACAAGAGAACAGAAGAAAGAAAAAGAGAGAGACAAGAAATTTTCATTGGTTGTTTCGTCTTCTCATTTCTTTCTTTATTGGTGCGTGTTTGGTTCGTGGCCAATTTCATAAATGACGCGGTGTGAAATTAGGTCGGTCTAGTACCATAGTGAAAAGTGGAGGGACCGTCACGTGTCGTACGTGTCGCCTTTGACAGTATAAGCATTACAGGGCGGTATGTGCTATCTTATCTTCTTTATGTACAGAAATGATACTGCCGCAAATCTAACAGCAAACAATTTGAGAATTAACGCTTTGGTATTCTGAGAGTAAAGTTGACATTTTGTCTCTTTTGTTTGTAGTCATTGACGTGTAATCACTTTGGAGACTTACGCACAACGCAGCGGTGATTATCCCAAGATTTCACTTAAGATATACACATAACTCATTTGTAAAATTTACGTGAGGCGTGTCGAGGTAGATCAGAAACCTTTATATTTCTAGTGGATGCTGGTCATTATGGCTAAATGATCAGAAGTGTTGCGACCCGAGTGATTTAGTCTGTTCTGATCAGTGTGTGTGTGTGTGTGTGACATTTATTCACCTGACTTTATTGAATGGACAACGATTGCTGTAGCCATCGTTGTCACTCGTCTAAGGTTACAGCACTTGCGGCAATATCCTTATGAAGAAGTGTAGCCTAGCGGTATTTAAACTAAAACACTGTGAAATTTTAAAATACTGAGGATTTCTGATCGTATCAGAGGATAAAAGTAGTCCCCGAAAACACGAGAACTAGGCGTTACATAAAATCGTGGTGGTCTCTTCTGAAATGTTAATACTGCTAGATCATCGTACTAAAATAACATCAGATATGAAAGTATGTGTTAATAATCGCCGTTTCAGCATTAAAGCATTTGGGATAATACTAACGAAAACAAATAGAATTACCATAGACCCAACCAATTTAAAATGTTGTTATTTTTTCATCTGGTGAGTTTAGGCATTCATACATATTTGTAGCCTTAATGAAAATTCCTGATTTTTCAGTATGTTAAACATTTAAAAAAGTATTAATAGTCACGTGAAATCAATAGAGATGGCAAGATCTGCTGTTAGTAACAGTAGGAAGATACTAGTGAAAGGGATATTCGGTACAAAGCAGTTGTCATAAATTGAGTGAAAGAATAGTTTGGGAGTTAGGTTTGAAATTAATTGATCGGGAACAAACGAGTTAGAGCTGATTACTTTTGATTAGCATTTTCTTCCTATTTTCGATGGGATAGATTCGTTGCGTGTGTGGCTCTTTCATTTCCCGGATTACCGGGATATCGAGGTTTTCATACGGCATGAATTTTTTTGTGAGCATTCCCTCTTTGCAACTGGATTTCCCTTGTGCCTGGGACGGGACAAAAATATCTTAGCTGAATCCAGAATTTGGAAATGTTCTCGTTAGCATATTGCACCAGACTGTAAGAATGGTATGTGTTATTTTCATTTCGAAATGCTGTTATCTTTTATCTTCATTTTAATACATTGTTAGATGATGCATTTGTAGACGTTTATATCCATTTATTTTTTATTCATTTGTATGAATACTCGTTTTTTTGCATCATCGGAACGTTTTGCCCACTGACAACAAGAATAAGTTTCACGAAATTTTATTTCTTTCAGATTATAAACAAACGAAATTTGGTGGTGTTTGAAGTGGAAGCAAGTAATGCCACAAAATGTCATCCAGTGGAAGTTTGCTTTTTTAATCAAATTAGAATTTTTAATTAGACGAAAGTCGTACTTCAGATGTACTTCTTATTGAATAAAGCCCAGCATTTAGTTATCTTTCATTCGGAGCTGTTTTAATCAATTTATTGAATTAAATCCATAATAAAGCTGAAATTCAAGTGAGCATTGCGCTGATGAATGAGTTTAAAATGTTCACCTTAAATATTATTTTACACATTCTTAGATGGAGCTTAAATATCATTTTTCTTATAGATGATACTAATCAAGGAAAGGAGACAGCTTTGGATGACGGATTTGGAGAAGATAGTGTGGCCGTACGACTAATTGAAGATTATTTGGAGGGGAAGATAACTTCACTGATTGATTTAAGCCAACTGTTGAAAGACGAAGCTGGTTTGATTATTTCAAAATCGACCCTTGCTAGACGACTGAAGGGGAAGGTGTGTTGTTCTATTATGTAATTAGTAATAACAAGAAGAAAGGCTATAATACATTTCTTATATGTGACGATATATTTCTTCTATTTTAGGTTAATGTTAAGATACGTCGTAAACGAGGTTATCATCAGCGGCGGGCTGGAGCAGACGAGTAAGGCATTTCTTTTTCTTTCAGGAAATGTAATGTACAGACTCATCTTTTTTCTTTAAAAAAGTTAAATTCCTTCGCAGTGCTTCTGAATGAATTCAACGAATTAAATATTCGGTGGTAAACTGGTGTCACAGATTTTTTTTGTTTCTGAAAAAAAATCAGGTCAAAATTGTAGATACGAAAATATGTAACATTTCAGACTTGACGATGAAGAAGCATACACGTACAGTTACTCATTATCGAGAAATTTGAATGAAACAATCGTCACAGTTCCGATTGACGATGAAAATGTCCGCCAGTATGCATTGGTTCGAGTTGCAGGCGATGGTAGGAAACGTTACTATCGGTGCAATCAATGCCTCAAATTTCGGCGAAATGATAAGAGTGCACCGCAAGCATACCTGATTATGGAAAATGGGCGTATTGTGGGTACTAAACATCATCGACATCATCCCGACTGCAAACCAACTAAACGAATCGAAGCAACCACAACCAGTTTGGATCGGGCAAATCGGAAAGACATACGCATTGGTCTTAAAACGCCTAAAGCAGCATACGCAGAAGTATCTATGATTCTGTCCTAATCAAAACAACTGTTTCTCTAAAGACAGCTGTATTAAGTATCCTTCGATATGCTTTATATAATATGGTTGAATTTTATGAAAAACCATTTCTAAAAAAAAATGACTTCGGAAAAAACTGCAAGATTCTTTGGCAATTTTTTTATTTGCAGAAAAAGAATCGGTTCATAACAGTGACATTATTCCTAATAAGTAATTGTGATTATAGCATTATTCTTGAAAGTAAAAAAAAAATTCTAAACTGAAAATTTTCAGGGTTTTTATCGAGCAATCGATCTTGCGTCCACGGAAGGTTCTTCAAGTAATAAATTACCGAAAATTTATCCATCGTGGAGTCGCGTACGTAAATCATACTTTCGACAAAATCGTTTGGGTAGAATCGATCGTGCGAAAAGTTTGTCAGCAGACGGTTCACTTCGTCGTGGACAACGTCATCCGGATGAAGTGAATGGTCCTGTATTATATACATATGGCGAAGATACCGATGGTCAATATGTTGTATTTGAGAGTGAAGAAATACCTGAAGGCTATGAGCCCGTACCAGTCGAAGAATTGGAGGCTGCGGCTGAAGGTGTTGAACTCGATGATAATTGGACTGTTAGTGCAAAAGAAGAGAACTTGAAAAGCGATTTACATAATGTATGGAAAGGAGGTGATGAATTGGAACAGAAACATTTACACGAGACCACTGTAAATGAACAAGAAACTGATGAGCTTCATCTCTTACCAGCAACTCATAGTGAAGAGCCGTCAATGAAGAAAGTTAGAATAGAGAACAATGAGTTGGAAGAATCTCAAGAATCTATGGAAACTAGAGAATGTGTAAATGAGGATGCATCATTGGTTCACGAATATGTCCATAATAAACCGTTACTCGACTTAGTTGATTACACTACAAAAGAAGAAAGACGACGAATTTCACAGAATTTAATAGACGAAATTCGTTCCAGTGCGAATTTTAAACGTGTCAAGCCAGCGAGAGGTTCTACATCGGAATTAGACGAAGAATTTAATAGCTGGTAAGTTCAATCATTTATATTTTCATCTTTTGTTGTTACTTGTCTACATTTTCTTTTGTGATCTCCACCTTTTTTTTCTTCGGTCTTTGCTTTGCATTTCGTGCCATCTTTCTTTTTGCTTTTTTAATTTTCATGAAATTTCAGTATTTCTACTAGTAATCTTACTAAATCAATTTCAAGATTTCTTTTCTATGATAGATTATAATTAAATAGTTTTGAACGATAAAAATCCGTTTTTTTTTTTTTTTGGAGGCTTCATTTATTAAAGAAGGCTCTCCAGAAATAAAGGTTCATTATCGTTAATTATATAATTTTAGTACATATTTGATCAAAGTGATGAGGATATATTAGCAATGCTTAAAAAAACATGTGTAATGAGTGAATAATAAAATGTTAGAGATAAGGGACTGCTGACATTACGATGTGGATTTCCCATAGACATTGTTCCGTTGAAATTCAATTTTAAGACTTGAAAAAATTTCAAATTTTATTTTAGGTGCTATATGCCATGCAATGCAGATGGTGAAATCATGGTTTACTCGTCGGATAAAGTACATTTAATTGAAAATTTGGAAGGAGAAACAGAAATTGCTTACGATCCTGATATGGAAATGAATGAAATTGTTAAAAGTCTGAAGCCATATGGAATCTTGTCAACGGATTATATCTTGTGAAATTTTTGATTTATTTCAATTGCTTTTGTTATGACCCTTCTTCACTTATTTTGTGGGAATGGTAATACTGCAAGGCATATGCGTCTTCTACTGATTTGCTTTATATGTCACGATTCTAAAGATATCTCCTTACGCGTTTCATTTTACCTTACAATTCCGTCATCCAGTTTGCTGTAGACTTTATTTGTATTTTTGTAATATTTGGTTTGATTTGTAGATGTTTCCTCATTTATGAACCTTCTTGCAGCGTTATTGTTTATATAGTAAAGTTTACAGTAATGTCGTGATATTAGCGATTTAAAGTGCTGTAGATTTTTGATTGACCCTCTAATTTCCTGTATTTCTGCAATAAAAAATCAGTACAAGTTTCTTTTGTGAGGTATCAGATTTTGAATGAATTTTGTACATTTTTCCAAGTTTCTGGGGAAGTTTCATTCATAGACAACTGACAGAACCATTTTTTTTTTTTTTTTTTTGCTACTAATAAGAACGACTGTTTTCTCCATAAAGAATTCTTGAATAGTAAACCCATCTTTATCTCAAGTATAACAACAAAACGAAAAAAAAAACAACAGTTACAATTAAAGAATATATATTTGTTCGGGAGTAATACATTTCTAATTATGTACTGGGTAATATGTGAGGAATGGCACCACGTAGCACTTTCAAGATTACGGATCCAACAGGCAAAACAATGAGGAGAAATATGAGTCATTTCTAGAAAAATAAATTTGACAAACAGCAAGAAATTCCCCACAATAAATATGCGGGAGATTAACATCATCGTATGAGGAACGACTATAATAGAGTCGTTCGTTATGGATTTCATCACTCCAGCACTTGTATAGCACAAAATAAAACAATTGTTTTTAACAAAATTTAGAAAATAAAATAGATTTGGAAATATATAGCTAGAAAGATGTTGCATGAAAAGTGAATGGATTATTTACAGAAATACAACTCATAAAAGCTAAATTGAAAGTTAGTTAAAATCTCTTATTATATACTATCTTTACCGGTTAGACTTCGTCGTAAAAACTGCCTTGACATTAAGAATAAAATTTAATAAATTGGAATTTGAAAAGATTTCCTGCCTCTTTAAATAACTGTACAGCCTTCTTCTTTGTATTATATATGTTTAGTCACTTCACTCCCGATCTCTTTTTAGATGATCGATCCGCAGCTTTACGCTCGCTTTCCGATAGTAGAATCATTTTTATCTTTTGGCGTGCGTTGAAATACGGCGTCGCTCCTTCGAAAATGTTTTCTCGGGTCACCCGTTTCTATAAGAAACTAAAAAAATAATCTACTTTTTTAAAATTATTTTGCCTGTGCTAATTCCTCATATCAGCATTTTAGAAATAAATGGTCTAGTGAAACACTAATGATTTAATTATTTTAAGATAACATTGAAAATTCCAAACATTAAAAAATGTTCCTTCTTTCCTCCTTTTAATCACTCTTTTAATCTTACCCAAAAGCAGTCACGCATAAATAAGCCGTTTAGCTTGAAATGGAAAATTTGATCGGAAACTAGCGCGACATTTGTTTGTGGCGGATCACTGTATTAAGTAAAAACTGACCTCACCCCCCGACTTCAATTCCACGGTCAAGTTTGGCATATTATAATTGCTAGAAGTTGGCAGTGCTTCAACTTTTCGTTCTATCTCCTTCTCGACTGAAACTTTAATTTCATCCAATACTTTCTGATCGGTTGACTCATGAACTTTAGTCCCATCAACAGAATCCACAATTTTTGACGCCACTCGTGAATTCAAGCCTGATTTTTTCTTACTCAGTAACAATGGATCAGTTTCATTTCGCACCACTGGACCAATTTCATCGACTTCGACAACTTTTTTTATGTCAGATATTTCCGACAAGATTTTCTGATCTGACTTATTGGAAGCGTTACGCTGTTCATCATGACTGCCATGGCTTCTTAGACGCGGTCGCTTGTGATCAGAACGACCAGTCTGAAACATGAAGTAGAAACTTTTACATTTTGAAGTACAAGCTTCCAATGTTTTTATGCTATAGTTGCAAAATCTGAATAGGGAAAAAATAAGGCAAATTTAAGATGCACAAAAGCTGGAACTTGTAATGCATACATCAACAAATAACAAATACTTACATCATTTTTACGTTTTTCACCATGTTCCTTATGTCTCGATTCTTTCTTCATTTCTGACTCAGGTTTTTCAGCGTTTCCGGATCGTTTGGGTTCTCTTTCACCTCCCTTTGTCTTTCCTTCTCTATTGTCCCACCTTAAATTTTTGACATCACCAAACTTTAATAAAATCGTAAGAGTTAAAACCAGTTAAAAACTATAAATAAAATCAAAAAATGTGTTAATGTCCCTACCTTTTGTTTTCCAATTTCTCATCTTTCCTGTCATTTTTTCGAAACTTATCACCTTGTTTTCTCGAGTCTTTCTCCTCACTTCGTTTGGTTTCCCTTTCATCATTTCTTTTTCTAGTAATTCGTGAATCATCTTTCGATTCCTCTCGTTTACGGCTTAAATCATGCTTGCGTCTTCTATCTTTTTCATGCTTAAGATGTTCCCTTACGTTTTTTTTATCATTACCCTTTGGAAGACTCGAACTATCACCACTTCGTCCTTCTTTTTCATCAGCTTTCTTCCCACTTCCACATCCTTCCTGATCATCCCTTGGTTTACTTTCCACTATTGCCTTCTCTTCGGATTTTTGCTCTAGTGTTCCGGAATCCATCAATTCCACGGATTTTAACATAGCAGCCTTCTTCACTTCATGTGTAATTTTGTTATCAGTTATTTCATTCTCATGATCCTTGTCAACTATTCCAGTAACACTGCTCATTTCATATTCACTTCCTTTATTCGCTGCACTTTCGACAGCACTCACTTGTTCGGTTTCTCTCTCTTGTCGTCGCCTTCGACGCTCTTCACGTCGTTTTTCTTTTTCTTGTTTTCGCTGCTCCTTCTCTTCTTTACTACGCTTATGCTTTTTATGCTTTTTACGTCCAGTTTCGTCATCTTCCGGTTTGTCTTCTTCATGTCTCCGATGTTTCCTCTTCTTCTTTCTGTGTCTTTTCTTTTCACTTTTATCCTTATTTTCCACCAACACTCCCGTAGTAATATTGCCAGTTTCTTTTTCATTATCCAATCCCTCATTTTCATTTTCAGCTTCTGCTCCAGAGCCATCATCATGATTAGAACGGAAACCCGCCACACCATTTTCGGCTGCCACCCCATCCGGCAAAGCTTCATCCACTGTATCGTTTTCTTTTTCCACATTGTTTTCAACATCACCGATGTCATTTTCAGTTCCTTTATTTTCGATATGTGGAGTAGTTTCCCTTTTAGCTTCTCCATCTACAACTATTTCTTTTAGGTCAACGGCACCGACATCTTTTCCCTCTTCGATTTTGAATGTACTTTCATGTCTTCCTTCCGCTGCATTTTCTATCTCTTTCGTTTCTTTTTCTTGGCGTCGCTTATATTTATCTTTCTGAAAGGAAAAAAAATTGTAGAGAACTGAGAAATCACATTTTCTCAAAATCAGTAAACTAATATTCAGAAATGTTCAAGAAAATTTTCACGAAACATAACCTTTTGTCGTCTTTCTTCTCTATCGCTGTCCTCCTTTGCTCTTCGCTCACGGTCATCTCGACGTGTTCTTTCATCACCATCTCTTCCTCGTCTTCGTTCCTCGGTTCGCTCTTTCCGGTCATTTTCTCGTTCTCTACTCTCATTCCTTCGCCGATTTTGTACTGATCTGAAATGCATTTTTCTTTTTTCTGCACACAACTTGAAAACTTCACCCGAATAAATATTTTTTTTTACATAAATATTTGGAAAACCTCAAGATCCAACTATACCTCGGTGAATGTCTTCTATTTCGTTCTTCTAGATATGTTCTTGATGACCGGTAATTTGGAACTGGCCCATTACTGAAAGAGCTGTAACTCGTCGCCTGGCTCGTTTGATTTAATGCATACTGTGGTGGACAGTAACTATTCAGAAGGGATGGAATACGATGATGAATAAGAGATGCTCCCGGTAAGCCTATAGCAGCAGCACCTGATGTATGCTGATAAAGATTAAATGATGAAGCTAGATTATCACGATGGTAACGTGTGCTCGCATATGAACTGCGGAACGGTGATCGTGAGCTGAAATTATTGATATTTGATAATATTTTATGGAATTTATCGATAAATTAGCAATATGTTTTTTGGCAATTAAAATTCTAAATTTGTTGAGATCCCATACTTTGAAAATTTGACAAAAATAAAAGAAACTCACTCTCTCCTTCTCGAAGAATGCTTTTCACGACCATCGTTTCGTCTTTTATCGCGATGTGATCGATTTCGGCCTCGAGAGGACGATCTTGACCGAGAACGTGATGATCCACTTGATGATTCGGAAGATGTGCTACTGCTTGAATATGAAGTACTGCGTGTAGAGCGACGGCGTCTACGTAAGGGTGGAGCAGCGGCTCTTTGACGGCTTTCCTGTAAAAACTATAGCTTTAAAAAAAAAAAATGTATTTCCTAAAAACAGAAAAAAGAAAACCACACAATAAGTTTACAAGCAGTTAGCATTTTCTACTAGTCAAAGAATTTTTGAAAAAAAATGAGAGTGGACAAAATGAATAATTACCTTATCTTTTCGTTCTAGATATTCATCCCAAGCATCCTTGACTGGTGGTGGAGCTGGTACACGTGGAAAGATAACTGCTGACAATCCTGGAATGTTTAATATAATCATTTTTCAAGCCTTCCTGTCACTTAAATTTGTGGCCTAAGCGAATGCATCAAGTACCTGGTGGTGGTGGTTGTACGCCTGGCGGAAGCAATAGTGGAGGTACAGTTAAGTGTGCGGCACTTATACTTCTGAAAAAAAACAATATTCCAAACTCTTAAAAAATCTAGTATAAATCCACATTATGGATTCAAAGGATTAAAAGATGACGCTACGTTGTCGCGATGATAACGTGTGCTCACATATGAACTGATCGTAAATTGAAATAATTGACATTTGATAAACATTTCATCGAATAATTAGCAGTACCTAGCAGTATGTGTTCCTGATGCGATTGATTCTGATGATGAACTAGTAGCAACATGCATCAACTGAGTTGACGGAAGTATGGTCGGATAACCTGGAGGTGGTTGATGAACATTTACCGGCAACGGAAGAGGTGGTGGAGCGACAGCTAACTGCTGTACATTTGGAACTACAACAGTAGGTGCAATAACTTTTGGTTGACTTTGTGCTGGTGTTACTCCTGGGGATGGCATGACATTGTTCCCAGAAAATTGCTTTATGATCATTTGAGATTGTAAAGCTGCAGGAATCGTGACATTTGTACTAGGTTGTATGACATATGTCGGTGATGAAGTACGGATCTAGAAAGTATTTTTAAGTTATAGTATCACAGTATATCGTACAAGATTTTGCTGAACTTTAATTTCCGGTTTTCCGTGAATGATAACACCTAGAGAGAAATGTCGTATTTTAAAACATAATTGGGTAAAACGCAATTCAAGCAATAAATACACTAAAATACTCTAAAGGGATGTGACGAACGGTAGTGCTCATATATTTTAATGACAAAATTCCAAATGAACTAGGAAAATAAGTTAGTGTATGCAAATAGTTCACTGACAAAAAAAAGAATTCATTACAAACAGTTCATTGACCAATATTATGTTTTAAAAAAAACTTTTTAAAAAACTTCCTTACTCGAAAAATTTAAGTCTCATAAGATATTATACGAATAAACCTGTGATTGTGGCGAAGTCACCGCTGTCTCTTGCTGCTGCTGCTGCTGTTGTTGTTGATGCGATTGCTGCTGCTGCTGCTGCTGTTGATGATGAATTACAATTGCAGGCTGAACTTGCTGCGGACGACCGCTTAAACCAATACGTACACGTGAAACCGGCGGCTGAACTGGTTGTTCGTCAATACGTGGTGAACTATCTAAACTTATTTTTCAATAAACCATTATGACATTCAAGTTGCGTTATTCTCGAAAACTCTACTTACTTGTGCTTTCAAATGCTGTATTATGAATTGCACCATGTTTGAAAGCTTCAGCAGCTTGTCGCATCTGAAATTTTGACAGTTGTTCAGTTCGAATTAAGAAGGTACGTAGTGATGATAATGTAGTTAGAGATATTTCTACTTCGACTTCAAACGAAATTTAAAAATAAATGAATTTAAAAATTCGATTTGATTTAAACCTTTAAATTCGGAACCAGTTTGTCGGTAGATACAGCAGTTTGGAAGCAATTTGTTCCTGGACATTTTGCGTTCGGTGTTTCAAGCAATCGTTGCTGCAAGCAATCCGCACAGAAGCTGTCACCGCAGCAAGTTGTTAAGACTGCATCACGCAAAAGTTGTGAACATATCGGACATTTTAATTCCGGTGGTATTTCTCTGGAAATTTTGAAACTGATGCGGAATTATTCGAGGGTCGTAAACTAATTCGTATTTAATTTTCTCTAATTACACAAGATTTCTAAATTTCAATTCATCAAGAAAAGCTTACTACTTTTGAAAATTGGGAATAGAAAGAATGAATGGCAACCTATTTTTGTTACTAGGCAAATTAGGACGGACAAAATCGAAGTGGGAGGAACCGATGGAACACATTAATGATTTGCTATGAAACCGAAGAATGAAGTCTATATCAGAATATGGCAAGATACCGTATTTCGGGTTCCGGTTTAGCAATTTCTGGTTTTTTCTGGCGTGCTTTCCAATGCATAATTGGCACAACATACTTCCCAGATGGATGTAACATTGCCAGTGGATCATCTGATGTTGTTTCCATCAACTCATCCATCGTTATACCCGTTGTGCGACGTGTATTCAACTAAAAAATAATACAGAGAAACTTATTTAAGCAAAGCAAATTGTCGTAACAACAAATTAAATGACTTACCAATAAATACCTGAAATTGTGAGACATATGTATAACCTGAAAGGGCCAACAATAACTAAAGACTTCGAAATCTGAAATAATCAAGTAATAATTTCACAAATCCTACTATTTCCTAATTGTATAGCACTCTGTTTGGACTCAATCCGCTGAAAAAGTTACTGGAATCAACTGGAATAAATAGAATAAATCAATGAAAAAAACGAAAATCAACTTGCTTTGGGCCTGAAAAAATAAGTTCGAAGCCAAGCAGTAAATTTAAATTTGAATTCACCTAAACTTCTGTCCTGAAACATCCAACTCAACTTTTCCATTAATTTCGGATTTCTCCGATATTTCATTGCAGTTGTATCCTAATATAGGAAATTATATCTTTTATTCTATTATGACTAACGAAACAAAGATCGGATTCATTAAGATGTAGCAGCCTTCTAACAAATAATAGTAAACACGTCTGTGGACCAATAATGCAAAATTGTTAGTTACTGTGAAATTCCAATGTGTGATACCATTTTATGCGTCATAAAATTCTTCCATTCCACATACGTTTCAATTTCAGCAAATGTAAAGTTCTTTTTACTTTGTGGCTAAAAGTTAGACCTGATGCATAAATCCGAAACGTTCATGAAATCAAAGAAAAAATGTTATTGCATAAAAAGTGATAACACACATACATTTCAAAAGTATCCAACTTGCGCATTTGTCCAATGACTTACAGAATGTTAAACGATGGAAATAATAAATGTACAAATGACATGCATGTTTTTCCTTTTTAAACCAATTGTTAACTATTATAATTGTGAATCTCTATCTAATATGATCGCAATAAGGTATCAGTATTATCCACTCATACTTGAAATAGCTCATCAGATCATTCCATTATAGACTTTCCGACATGCTAGAAGAGTACTACAGCTTTCCTAACCTAATCAAAAACACAAATAACTCAGTACAGAATGAAAGCGACCACCTACGAGTTTAACAATATCATTCATTCCTCAACGACGACAGCCACGTGGCACCTCTTCTAACTACTTATTTCATCACTAAGTTTCTCACCTTACCACTCTTATCAAAAATTCCACTCTAACAATGATTTCAACCATGCAAGTGAAGCATTTTCTTGATTAAGCTTACAATACACTACTTTCAAGACTAGCACATCACTGCATTCTCGATGTTTCTTCCATAGTGTCTCCTTCCCGCAAACATAGACCTTTCCATTACCGTATCATCGGAGATTCTTCCATTTCCAATTAATATTGTGAAATTTTCTTTTCTTTTCAGAATGTCAGAATACTAATGCTTATAAAGAGAAAAAAGAAAATGAGAAAAAAATATAGTACAATTTATCTTTTTTATCGGCGATAAACAAAAACTTACTCGAAAAAATGAAATACACCGAGAGAGACTGAGAGATCATTTCAACTATAATTACAAATTCAAGTTCATAATATGCAGAAAATAAATGCGGAAAATAAATTTGATAGTTAAAGATTAAAACAAGAATAATTTTGTAACTTACTTTGTAATGTCTAAAATAACATTCAAATGATTTTTGCTTTCTCAATCTTTATCCTAATATTGCCATTTTTTTTAATCTCTCTCGGAAATGATTCTTTCGCCTACCCTTCGCCATCCGAAAGTACCATTCAATGACAAAACTTCACAGTTTCATTGTTGTTTACAAATAAAACGAATGAAAACGAAAAACTTAACACCGGAAAACATTAACTCAAAGAGTTATAACGATTAACCCATGGTAAATATGTGATAAAAACATTAAAGAATGATATACCCGTACCAGAAAGTATGAAAATAATCAATTATGTCATTTAAATCAATGAACAAATGTGTACATGTAAAACAGTAAATCTTTTCTGCGTATATTTAATGATATAACGTAAAAGTGTAAATATAGAATGACCGTTACCATTGGACAATTTTTGTACCAGTGTCCTGACTGTGAACAACGATTGCACACATAAGTTGGTGGCGGAGGACCAGACATTATAGAAGACGTCTTCTTTTGAAAGCTGAAAAAAGATTTCTTTTTTGGTAAACCATATCATATGTGAGACAATATTACAGATTATATTTTATGTACATTATTTTGTCCTGAACACATTTTTTCATGTTTTCTGCACATCTTTTTTCAGATTTTTAGATGTTCCTCAAATAAAAGTACATATGAATTTTGTTGCGGATGAAAATGAAAAAACACTTCTGGGAATCTTCAAGTATTATGTATCGGAATATTCTAAATGTAAAAATAAAGTCCCACTTCATTATTTTTCGTCCAATTACAGTTAAAAGACGAATAGAAAGAAACTATAACTAGTTACGTACTTTGAAGGTAAATATTTGTATGTAGATACTTCTTTTACATGTGCCAAACGCTCTTCTTCTGTCATTTTGTCGAATTCTTCCTGAAGAAGGTCATGTTAATATAACGCAGGAACACAATTGGAAAAGTCTTGGCAAACTCTAAAACTGTTAATTTAGTGTTGCCCGAAAAAACGCGAAGGTTATACTTACTGAATCAATATGCCCAACAACAGGAGCTTCAGTTGGAGTAGACTTGGTCACAATTCCTGAATTTGTGGTGTCCCTAAAAAAAATGATCCATCAATTCTCCGATATTTTGACAGCAGAATGTAGCTAGTGAAGCAATGGAACATTAAGTAACTGAAAACTATATGAAAAAAAAAAAAAAAACTATATGAGTTGAACAATTTTCAGAACAATCATTTAAGTAATAAACTTACTGCACTTTTGGCAGTTTCGCAGCATTGTCACGTGGTATCCGTTGGACGATTACTGATGAATTTCGAGGAATCAACTCATCTCCCGTATACTGGCGCTTTGTGTGGGCGTTTGTTAAGACTAAATCGAAGGATTCTGCCTAAAAACCAAAATACTTCTACGATTCATCTCTCAACTTACATGTCTTCAACAGTCAATGATATATTCCTTTGTCATGATTTAGAAGCGAGTTTATAGAAACACCTTACCCACGACCATGAGCAACTGAACGAATTTCATAAATATCAATATTACTACTACTTCGTTCTATCCAGCTTTAAATTTCAAGCAGAAATGAAATATCATATATTCACTACTACCATATATTCACTACTGAACAAAACTCTCCATGTGTTAAATGGTGAGTAAACAAATAACAAATTTCCCACCTTAATATTTTCTTTTTCACATATTTCCTTCTTGAGATCAGTGATGGATATATGCAAGCCATCAAACACCAATGTTTTGTACTCAAGTGTCGCTTTAAATTTGTAATGTATCGATGACATCAATAACTTAAAAAAACGAAATGAATTCGGTAAACAATATAAAATAATACGATTCCACCAACAATGAGTCAACCACTAGTCACATCCTCATGGTAGATTTTTTAGGTTCCATCTAGCAGTACAATCAAATTTATGGGACACCGCGGTACCGCAAGCAAATGGAAGAAGCAACCCACAAGGACAACCACCCGTCGAACGCAACCGTTATCGCTAACCCTAGGCTAGCTGAACTCGTTTATCGATTTCAGTGCATCATTTCACGGTCCCACTGCGAAAACTTTCTGGATCAGACATAAAAAAGGGCTTCCAAAATGAGAGATGCAGTTTTTATTCGGTTTTTTTTTTTTAATTTTAATTTTGCAAAGATTTGCTTTAAATTAGGATCGATGTTCTCTTTGCCACTGTATGCCTCTTTCTGTAGAAATAAAGATTTATGAGTCCGAGGATTGGGATGCTGTCAACTGATCGGATTTTTAGAGTAGTTATATTACGGATTAAGAGTAGGAATTGCCAAGATTTAAAAGTTTGAAAAATAGATTTTAGACAAAGATTGAGACAAAGCAAACATTTTGGAAGGATATGTTAAAACTTCCTTTTCTAGATTTTGATTATGTAGAGTAATTGCGGTCAGAGACCGAAGAAAAAGAAGGGTGAGACACGAGTAATTCATCTGAAGTGTCTAGCAAAATTTAATTTTAGCAAAATTTAATTGGTATTCGAGATCTCAAATTTATGCGGGATTCAGTTGCAAATTTTGTAGAATATGGAAGATATTTGGAAAGTATTAGAAACTGCTGATTAATATTGTGAGAATCATTTAGATAGAAATGCATCGTTCTGTAGCACACAGAGGTTTCAGTATGATTCGGAAAGCTATTTTGTTATTGAAACATTTAAGAAATCAGGATGCAGTAACTGTGTTACCCACTTCGCATATCTAACTTGTATGTAAAGTGTGTGTAAATACAAACTGTTTCGTATATTTCTCAATTCATTTCATATTTAGTTGTCCTTCCGACAAGATCAAAAGCAAATTTGGTGGAGTGCTGTATCATCTATCAGTGATCGATACTCTGGAAACGTCCTGACAGTTCAGGTTTGTAAGAAATTTGTATTTTTTTATAATGCACATAGTGGAAAGAACAGCAGGAATAGATGAATGTAAGGAGAATTTTTTCTATTCGTGGCTTTAATTTTTGAGGAGTTATGACTGATATTTCTTTTAGAGTCAGATTTTATCATATATTAGATGTATAATCTAATAATCTATATTATATATGTGTAATAATCTACATTTCAGGACAACATATAGTAAGCACGATGATAACAGACGTTCAGTTAGCAGTATTTTCGAACCTGATTGGTGTTTCCATTTTTGCTCTTGTCATCCTCTTTCATTATGTTGCAGTGAACAATCCGAAACGCAGTAAGGAACACTGAACATTCATGACGACATTATTACTATTGTTATTATTATTATAAAGCGAATGTTTAAGAATGTCTTATGATTCCTTCATCTTCAGTTTGTTATTTTGGTTCTACAGATTTTTTAAATTGGGTGAAGTTTATGCTTGAACTTGTCATTAAGTTAGTTACAACTACTTCAATATAATTTCAAGCAAATAATCAATAACTATATAACCAGGTGATAGTTTTAATCCAAGTGATCAGTGCTGATGTTTTTTAATAGCTTTTTATCTATTATTTGCCGACTTATAAATCATTGTTGTCATCTGATACTGCGATAAATCAATATTATTATTCCATACAGAAATTAATCAACTTTTTTACCTAACGTTTAAATGAGTGCTTCAGTGATATTATTTGTATTAGACAAAGTTGTTACAAATTTCTGGTCCCTCTTGATTTGCTTATTAATTTCTCGTCATATTTTTTGAAACGATCCTAGATGATCTCTTCTGTGCTGCGATTCTTCTAATCAGTGACATATTTGTATTGTTGGCTTCTTTAATAAAACATTTCCCTCATCCAAAGCGTACTTTTCAGTAGTCTTGGAATCCTACATTCCAACGTTGTATTTTTATCTGTTGAAATTTAAGTATCTCTCTGACTGTTCAGTTACAATTTTCCCGTATTTCTTATAAGCTCCACAGTTTCCAATGCTTTTTTCTTAGACATTTAGTAGACAAACCGGTAGGTGAAGCTTCTACTTCGTGTCATTGTAGAGCGTTAACATCTCGTGCTAAATATGATCAATTTGGACTGGATTATAGGTAAAACTTTTATAACCTGTATGAGTAATGCAAGTAAATGTGAGCTATTCGGATTCAGTCCAGTCAGGTTACGCTTCCATTTCTGAGCTTCCACATTAGCTTGATTTTGTTATAATTTGATAATCGGAAGATTTTTCGACAAAGAAGGATAAACATTTTATAGTGATACAAATAAACTTAATGACAAACCATGCAAATATGTGTTAAGTTAGACGCAATGACAAGTAAACAATGAGATCAACTAACGGTAAAATCTTTGGGAGGGAAGGGGTTCCGGTTCCTTTCTGTCTTTTTCTTTAAAAATTTCTTTTTAACGAATGGATATTTGCACCTATGTAAAAGTGCAATCGGTGTTGAGTCCAGTTGCTGTCTGACTTCTTATTTGTCTGTTTGTTCCTCACGGTCTTATACGAAGATAAATGTAATTTGATATATAGGACCGGTAAATCTTCATGGAATTAGTTACAATTCACGGTGGCTATTCTGACCTGCAGCGTGATCGGCTAACAGAAGCACTGTGTTGTAAATATGTTTCAATTGCTCTTTTATCTGAAAATTTATTGGATTAAAATTGAATTAAAGTTTGCCAAATAAATTTGAAAGTCTCAGAAAAGAAAAAAAAAAAAAAAAAAAAGGATAAATGAAATAAATGTGTTAATGTTAATAAATTATAGCAAATTGCTGTCATAAAATAAGATAGTTTTATGAATATTAGTGAAAACTTACAGACTTATAAAAGAGACAGTTTGACGGATTTTCATCTTCGCCACCGGGACAGTCACTGATGTCATCGCACAGTTGTTCCGATGTTATGCAAACATCGTAGTGATGTGAGCTTCGTGTCGGACATAACATTTGTTGATGGCCATGCCGTGATGCACCACAGCCTGAAATTTAGCATAAGTTACAATAGATGTGAAGCAGAAATTCCACGTTTGCTATGACTTTAGTATTAATGTGACACTCTTCGAGACTGATGAGTCATTGCAAGTAAATATGTTTTCCTGTAAAATAAATACCTCCTTTAATCTGAGGATAACGCGAATTATTCGAAACCTCCAAGACCTGTTTTTACTTTTTCAGTTTCGAGCTAAGAGTCAGCTGGTCCAGAATTTGAAATATTATTTTGAAAAAAAAAAAGTGACAACATTTTGTGGAGATTTATTATTTCGTTCCTACAAATGAAATTCTAAATTAGGACAAAATTGATGTCGAATTTTAAATTATTATTGTCCTTGAAAATTTTTGTGATATGATCGCACATATGTAGTGGTATTGGAAGAGATTATATGATATGCAAGAAATGGAATTTGACTGATTGTAGTAATTGATAAAATGTTATTTAAGAATAAATCTATCAGCTAAATGTGTTATTACTCATTAGCGTTTAATTCATTATCAAATTGGTACATTTATTGATGTATAACTATGGGAAAAGAATTCACTGATATTATCGATGATCGATGAATTGTTTATAAATATTGAAGTCTTATCACTGAAGCATTCTTATCTTTTAGAATGAATTATAATGTAATACTAAAAAAAGCTGTTCGAATTTAATCAGGAAGTTTACACGTACGACTGATGATGCTATTATTACGCTTACGCTGTATAATTTCAACATATATTGATTATACTGAGAAAGCAAACACACTTCTCAATAGCTAATTATCACAATGCATCTTAACTACCGTCTTACCTTAATTAAATTTGGTTAGCAATATCTCTCCCGGAAGTTCTAAATTACCGACTATTTGTGTTTAACTTTTCTCTGAAAAGCATGAAATAAGAATTAAGCTACCACTAATATCAATTTTCATGGATCATTTATAAAACACAAAGTAACTCGTTAATGAATTAGAAAGAACTTTGAAGTCATTTTAACTTCTTCAAATAAGTTTTTCTTTAAAAAGTTTAAAACTTCCCGTTTCTAATTAGATACATACCCAGCGTTTCTAATTTCAACAAAACATTTGATCGAAACTTTGTGATAATAAATTGTCACTACAAATACCTTTTCTTCGTTTGCGTTGCCTGAAATGTCGTGTTCTGTGCATCACTGATGGGCGATCGGCTTGCATGAGCCTTTCTTCATCCTCAAAATCGTCATCAAAATGATCCACGTCTGCTTCATTCATCCTCCTACAACAATTACAGCAATCACTTCTATTTTTAAACTGAGAATGAGTGATGTGAAAAATTACATCTAGTGATTTAGCAAATTTCAACTTGTGCCTTTACAATGTTACAATTCAGAAATTACCTGTATCTTATTTTGGTACAGTTCAAATCAGCTGACTTATAAAGACCTTTCTTATCTTTTTTTTTTTTTGCCCTTTTAAAATTTTCTAATAAAGTTTAAGACACCATTGTTTACTACCTTATATCGGCTTTAACATTTAGTATGCCAGCTTCTGAAGACTCTCCCCTTCGTCCATATAAAGCGTCTCGATGAAGATGATGCTGAAATTTTTGATTTTTATTGAAAATTGAAAAAAAAAAAAATATTCAGGGTTAAAATAGACTGCTAACTCAAAAAAGTGTTCACAATTATTTTCATTTGAAAGAAAGGAACAGGAAAATCCTAACTTACAAATTTCTCTCCACTATTGCAACTTTGATTTCAAAGGTTATATTCAAGGTAAAAGCCAGCTTGAAGATATGTGAGAAACCAAACAAGAAGAGCACTAGGAGAGAAATATGCTCAGAGATTAAAGAAGATGATATTTATTGAAATAAAATTCTAACTAATTTGATTAACCTATAATTGGGATCAGTAGATACTCAATGTGTAATTCAATTAGATACGCAAATTTTTTTTTTTGGAAATCTTCAAGCTTTAAAATTTGATTTCTTGAATAGACATGAATATAAAAAATAATTGATAAAAAATTTTAAAACTTTCATGGATTCGTCACAAGTAGTTACACATTCTTCTTGTATTTTTGGAATTCATTTTTAGGTTATTCAGAAAAGAAAGATTATGATAACCAAAAAATCCAAAGATACGTATTTAGTTTTATGGTTTGCGCTTGAAAAGAAACATACAATTGAAACTTTGAAATCATTCCACTGATTTGTTCGATTATACTTTGTTAATTTTATAATTAATCCATTCATATGAAAATTGGAAAATCAGCAAGTTTATTGATGGTAGTATTATTTTTCTATTTAAAAAAAATATACTAATTTAGAAGTGGTTTTTGAAAAGATGAAGCTGTTGCAAATATTTTACTTGAATTTATTATAATTAGGATGCAAAAATGTGAAATTCATTCTATACTCATCAAAAATTTTAAAAACTTTCAATGCATAATATTAATTTTTGAAATAAAATTCATTGATCTAACATCGATCTAACCGCTGATTTTTAATTTTATAGCTTAATCATTGGTATTATTAGTTAACATGACCGATGATGATTTAACAGTAGTGCTAATCTAAAATTTTGAACAGAGTAATACAAGAAATTGCATTTAACCCAGATACTGAACGTTAGCTTAAAAAAAGGTTCATCAGATAAACTTGAAGTGATGAAGATAACAAGTGATCAGGAAATGAACTATTATTATGATAAAAATAAGTGCTCCTTTCCGGCTAAACAACAGATAAGATGAATATTCTTCTTTCATTAGTAGCCGTCATCGCACTAATTTGTAAAATTATTTTGTGCTATATTTTTGTTGGTATGTATGTCTCCGACATGTGTAAATTTTTAATCGAAAGATACGACATGGAGCGATGACAAGACAGGACAGCAGCCATCTTGTCGTCGATATTATTCGGGCCACTATCATTCTGCAGTTTGTAGTTTAGTTACCTGCTACTGATATATTACGATAGAGAGAAAGGAAGAAGGACTCAGTGTTATCAATCAACAGATTTTCTTTAGTGATAATATCGAAATTTTTTCTTTTTTTGCACTGCAAGTAAAAAAAAAAAGAAAAAAAAACCATTGTTTTCGTTCAATTACCATTAAAGAATGTTTTGTATAATATATTTTCACAATGAGTTTTGGCTTTTATTCATTAGTTGTCATCAAACTTTGGACTTCACTCTTTTTTTTTTTTGATAGGAAAAATGTGAATAATTTGAAAGAAAAGAGAAGAAACCTGTGATGAGGGTAAACGAAGTACTGAACCGGCAATTGAGTTACCAACCGCATGGCGTAATACAGCTATTGACCTGCAAATCTCCTTTATTCAGATTTTCTATTCTTCTGTAAAATTTCATTTCTTTAAAACAGTGAAATTGGAGAGAGAGAGAGAGAGAGAGAGAGAGGGAAAGCATATACAGTCAGTAAGACTATCCTAACACTCGTTTATTAAATTTATTCCAAAAGTAGTGATGTAAAATGAGAATAAGTAATGGCCAAAGTTGGGGTCAATCTGTTGTGTACTTAAAGTGCAAAACGCAGTTGTTACTGCTGTAGTCTCTTGTTCACTTTATCACAATGATTTTACTTTTTGCCCAGCAAATCATTTTATAACTTCAATAATAAGCGAGTGCTTTTCACCTTTCTTTTCCACATTCTCAGCACTTAATAAATACCTGCGTAAATTGTATACTTGCGTAAATTGTATACTTGCGTAAATTGTATACTTGCGTAAATTGTATACTTGCGTAAATTGTATACTTGCGTAAATTGTATACTTGCGTAAATTGTATACTTGCGTAAATTGTATACTTGCGTAAATTGTATACTTGCGTAAATTGTATACTTGCGTAAACTGTGTACCTGCGTAAATTGTATACCTGCGTAAACTGTGTACCTGCGTAAATTGTATACTTGCGTAAATTGTATACTTGCGTAAATTGTATACTTGCGTAAACTGTGTACCTGCGTAAATTGTATACCTGCGTAAACTGTGTACCTGCGTAAATTGTATACTTGCGTAAATTGTATACTTGCGTAAATTGTATACTTGCGTAAATTGTATACCTGCGTAAATTGTATACCTGCGTAAACTGTGTACCTGCGTAAATTGTATACCTGCGTAAATTGTATACTTGCGTAAATTGTGTACCTGCATAAATTGTGTACCTGCGTAAATTGTGTACCTACGTAAATTGTATACCTGCGTAAATTGTCCAAATCGCTGGATAGCACTGACTTTGACTTCATTACTGGCACAGCATCAACAGCCATCGCTGTCACTGTTGGGCGCATTCCGCGTTTCGGATACGATATACCGGCTAGCAACAGGAAAATAATAATAACAACGGTTGTTGGCAGGCATTGAACCCGCATTGGGTTTAGTTTATCGCTATCATAAACAGTTTTGTTCCTTTTTTATTTTCTATATTTCCTTAATTGGTCTTATTCTTAACTTTTTTTTTTCCGTTTCCGGAGAATAGTTTTACTTTATCGTTTTTCTGCCAGCGTACTGCACAGTTCCAGAGATTTACTTTATTGAAATCCTTGGTATTTGTCTATCCTCTCAAATAGTATCGCGGGATATAATACCAAGAATTTTGGGATGTAGTAATAGTGGAATGCAGAACAATAAATTATTATGCAACTTTTTCCTTAAATACTCCTACCAATCAATATTAAAATTCAAATAATATAGCTATTCGACTTGAATTATTCAGTTAGACTTCAAAAACATACTAAATTGCAGAAGTTAGTAAATAATTCCACATAAATGCCAACTGAGTTTATTTAAGAGAAAGATAAACTTAATTGTAAAAATAACGAAAAGGAGAAAGCAAATATAAGTTGGGATGAGTAAGGATCGCGACGACACAAAGGTATCGTTGACAATTTAAAAACAACAGGTAGTAATTGGTTGATAAGAGAGGAATTCTGCCAATACTTTATAACAGATAAAATCAACGATTTGTTTTTTCTTTTTTTTTCTTCTAAAACAAAATGGAAAAATTAAAATTTGAAGCGGAATATAATAAATTTTTAGAACATCTGCGCTATTAATGCAAATGGCGAACAAGCTGATGAATAGAGGTGCCAATTTGCAACAATTTGGAATTCCAGATCGAATACCACGAACAACAGTAAATTCAGATGACAAATAATTGTTAAGTAATTCGTTAATCCGTAAAACAGGAAATGATGATTATTTCCTATTCAATATCAATCTCTTAGAAATTTAGCGCAAAAATTGAATAACACAACACAATGAAGCTGTTGGCGAGAAACACTGGTAGTAATAATAATTGCTGTGATAGTATAGTAGAAATATAATTTAAAAAATCTTACGAACAAACCGGAAAAATATGGAATAATTCCTGTTCTGGTTTTCCCGAATGCACCGCTAGTAGAATGAAAGTGAAACAGTCAACAAAAATAACTCCACTGAAAATTGTTTAATGAAGATGGCAGTAGTAATGATGATGGAAATGATAATAATGATAACAGCAATGTTAACGAAATATAATAATAATAATAATACAGTAAATTCAGCTGGTTCAGACAATCGTTAGTTAGTCAACAGAACCAGGAAAAAGAGTTCAAATGGAAAAATTTTCTCCGTAATCTTTCGCCGTGATCTTATGCGCGCGCGCGCAAATGCTCAGTAGAAATTTCCAATTCGTACACACAGTTACACAAAAAATTCTTTTTCCTCAATCTTTTTCTTGTTTCTCTTTCAATTGAAATGATAGCAGCCAGAAAAGTGTCCCCGCTGTCGTTGTCGTTGTCGCTTAGGAAGAAAGGAGAAACGATTTTAAAAAGGAATATTTCGAGTGATCCTTGAAATGTTCACTGGTTGTAGCAGTGCTAATAGTGGTCGTTGACGTGATATTGACGTTACTGTATCGGATGTAATTGGATGCTTCTTATTGTAGTAGTAATGGATTTAGTAGGAATTGGTTATTGTTTTCTAAACTAAAATCAGGCATTCCTTATTTGAATTTGCCTTAAAACTTATCGTTCTTCTTTCCCTATTATTAATTTTTATAACTTTTAATAATTAAACATCGATCGATGATCATTTCGGACTCGTTCAGCTTGTCTCGTTCATTTTTTCAAGCCAACTTTGCTTCTTTTTTTTTTTTTTTTTTTTTCGTTATGTCTAAATATTTCGGCCGTTATTTGCTAGTATTAGTGCTTCTCGGTCCTCAATTCTCAAGCAGATAGAATTACGCGTTCTTAATTCTTGAGCAGATATGAATGTTAAAGCTCACTGAAAGGTACAAAAAATAGGAAATAATCGTAATTGATGTGAGTTGATGTGTTGCTGCTGTTCACGCGAACATATTTGACACATAAACAGTTTACTGATAGCAGAATGTTTACAGGAGAAATTTGAGGACCTGAAATTTCAGATGAAGTTCTCATCATTTTAAAATTATTTATGCGACGAATGGTTTTGCACAATGTGAAAAGCATAATGTGTAAATAAAATAAGTTACAGATCGATATATACGCTTCATTTTATTTGTTCGATACTCTCATCTCTCTTTAACAATTGATCACCTCGGAACAATTTAAACAAACTATCTCAGGAATGCATGTTGGAAGGAAACTGGAAATCGAATTTATGGTATTTGAGGCGGAATTAATGATAGGTTTGTTTCAGGAATGTTATGTATGAGCGTTCTGTGAGCTAATTATACAAATGTCCCAATTTATCACTGGGCTATTTGAAATTGACAATGGGATAGGATGAAATAGTCACTTCGTAGTCACAGATATCACAGCCTATGGCTTCAGGTTAACTTCTTGAGTAAATTTTCTAAAAAGTTTGTAAAGTAATAGTATATTCAGAGATCAAAGAAAAAAACAATGAATGATCAATTTTACCTAGATGGACACAAAAGTGGATTTAAACGATGTCAAAATTAAAGTGTGGCTAGTTTACAAATAATTGAAATTGTTTGTAAAATGAATGGAATGAAATAAATGAAAAGACGATGAAATTGGTATATAAATAGTATGAGAGGATGATTTGGTGCAAGCGGCCAAGTTGTGAATGCAACCGAACTAAAAGGGAAGAGAGGAAAGGAACCATATCACATTCCACAAATTTACTGTTGTTGTTTGCTGCTGTTTATACGACAATTTGTTAATGATAATGCAAAAGAGATAATCATTCTCCCTTCTCCCCGTATTTTCTTCTCCTTTGCTGTGCTGTCCTACCCGTTTCTATTGTCACCCAGAATACTTCTTTCTAACTCGAAAAAGGCAAATGGATGAACAAACAGATAGTATATATGTACATAAACAATGATCGCTTACCCAAAGAGGAATGGTGTAGTTTGAAATGGGTGGGAACAATTGAAACAGGTTAGGTTGATACTCGTATCGTTCGATGTTATATTGCTCGGTATGACTGCTGATTGTTATTAATGACGATGATGGCTGTAATAGCAGTGATAAGAGAATAGTGATAGTGGTGATAGTCATCACTACCGCTGTTACATTTGGTCAGTGCTATCTTTTGTCTTGTGGTGATAATGGTGATAACGGTCATGATAAAAATAATAATTCTTGCTTATTAATATCACATTAGCAAACGTCCTTCAGACAAAAGGATGAATATTTAAGTATTTCTTGGTGAACAATTTCATGAATTATGTACATTACTGTACTGAAGCTATCATCTACATCAATAAATCAGGAAACTAAACTGTTCAGTAAAAATTTAAAAACTTTGCTTAGGAAAGGAAATGTATTGCTGATATTTGAAGAATATAGAGAAAAAGAAATAGAAGCAAAGATGAAACTTCAACATATAACGAAATAAAAAAAAGTTGAGAGTTAACAAACACGTGATTACTAACGTCGGAAAAACTTGAAAACGTGAATGCTTTTTTGCATTTGCGTTTTGGTTTATTAACATCAGTTAAAAAAATATTTATAACAGAAAAATAAATAAAACAATGAAGATTTATTGCAAAATTTAGTTTCAAATGAAAGTTGAACTTATGTTGAGACAGATGCGCTTATAGAACGTATGTAATTGTACCTATGTGATATCTAATGCCTTTATTGATATTCTTGGGTTGTTATTTTCAAACATTAATCATCTTAAACATTATTCACTACTGCTCTTTGAATCCTTATCGGAAAATCAATATCAACCGGAAAACCATTCTTGCTTACCAGAAGACAACATCGGAACATCCCAACGCATCAGTTATTCGAAGATGATTAAAATACTATTTCAATTATTTATCAACTGTTGTCAAGATTTCGACATATTTTGTAACGATCTGTCTTATTGAAAACATGGATAAGCATTTTTCAGACCTAATTAGAACTTCAAGAAATATTCCGGATTATTATTCGGTATAGATTGCTGTAAAATAATGAAAAGAAAAGCTTGAAGTGATGAAATAAATGATGAAATGGAGTTGAGTTCGTTGTAGGAAAAAAGAAAATGAAAAATAATAAGTCCGAAAGAGAAAGTGGCCTTCATGTTTTCATTGATTATCACAATACTTATACAGTACCTTGCCAACAACAACTATTGTCAATGATTCAGGTGTGAAATATATACTGTCGAGACAAGGAGTCGAGACAAGGACAGATTAGCAAGTACAGTCAATACTCCTCGCTAAGTTTAAAATTTACAAAATATGCAAATTTGTCAAGTACATTGTTCAGAACAATAACACAGTAACGATTCTGTTAACGGTTAGAGCATTAGTAGTAATTGTTGTTGTTGTTGTGTGTTGGTAATATAACAATATTCAAAATTTTTAATTATGTTAATTTAGTTCAGTTATAATGGTTAATTACATGTTTTCGTGTAAATAAAAGAATGTGAAAAATTAGAAAATTGTCACCATTTTTAATAAATCTAATTTGGGCAAAATTCTAAATTGTCAACAACAATTCATTGCAACCTGACAACACGAAGAAACGAAGGATAATAGTTCGTCGTGAAAGACATAAAGTTTTATAAAGCATTAATTTGGGTTACACACTGTTCCAAATGATTGTAGTTCAGTTTTCAGCATTTCAACAACTTTCACTTCTGAAAGGTAAACAAACAAAATTAGTGAAACTTAGCGATTTGAGGAAAAAACTTTTTTCTTTTCATTCCAGCCGACGACTGATACTTACTCATTTATTCATTTTTACTTCTATCGGTTTAAAATGCTTTGTCAAACTTATCTTTCGGCTTAAAATGCTTCGTCAAACTTATATCTTTCGGCTTAAAATGCTTTGTCAAATTTATCATTGCTGTTTAGATTACAGATATTTTACTGATAATTGTCTAATCTCGAAATGTTATCTGAATAGAAATTCAATCATTCAATCTTTGTGTCCAAACCTATGAT